TATTGACTGACCAATTAGTGCCATATAAAGATTTATTCACAAATTACCCGTCAAGAGGGCTTAGTTTGAAATCCTAGATAAACCCCACAGTAGATGAAAACAGTTTTACACACAGAATGAACAAAGCGTGTCTGTCATCATGTGATTTACACAGTTCATAATTTGGGGGAATGGTTGAAGGATATGTTTTAACTTATTTAACAGAGATAAGTAATGTTTTACTTCAAGTTTTCCTGTTCAGCAGCTGTATGGCACTATCCAGTCATCCATGTTTTTCCCAGGTGTATGTAGGTGACTCCACACCTGACCTGACACATGTGTGTCTCGGGCTGCATGGTAGTCACACTGTTAGTAAAGAATACACCAGACTCCGAACATTGAAATGTGAGTGGGTGAGTTAGTGAGTATGGTTTTTAAGCTGCTTTTAGCAATATTCCAGCAATATCACGTTGGGGGACACCAGAAATGGGCTTCACACATTGTACCCATGTGGGGAATCGAACCCGGGTCTTCAGCGTGTTGAGTGGACACTTTAACCATTAGACTACCCCACTGCCCCATTGAAATGTGAAAGAAGATGATAAAAGAGTATGCTTTTTAGTCCATGTTATAAATTAAATGTAAATAAAATGCACCCCATTCTACTGTCGCTGTCAATATATACATAAATTAGCTAAAATTCAATGAAATATGAAATTCAAATATACATCTTTAGCTTCAAAACACAACAAATTGTGGCAAAGCAGAAGATGTAATAAGAATGAAAATCTTTTCATTGGATTTAAAATGAATCACCGACCTGAATTTTATAGCCAGAAATCTGACAACCCAAATGACAAAAGAGTCCCACTTAAGATAGAGACCATTTGCTCTGTCAGATTGTGAGTGATGACAGATGTGTAGAGGAGGTCCACCAGGACACTATTGTATTTCCACCCTACCTGGAGGTTTACCAGTGTTATCACCCAGCTACAGATGGAGGATGTATACTGTCTAACATTGTAGGTGCTATGACCTGGATATATGAAACCTTGAGAAGGAGAAACAAACATATATCAAAATATGAAAAACATAATATATCAGATGCTGTATTTGGTCACATATTTTTATACTTTTATGATACAGGTTAACCTCATCTTTAACATAAAAAGGGGAAGAGTTCTGTCTTGAGGAATAATATCTCAGACTACGATATAATATTGAGCATGTTGGACGAAAGGAACTATATTTTGTTCACAGCTGACATTTAGATCATTCCATTAAATCTGTAACAGTAACACAGGTGATATTGATGATGCATGATCCAGTCTATTGAAAGTGGTGGTGAATATTTGGTTGCAGCAGGTGCCAAATTGGCCTGGCACAAATGTGGGAATATGTTGTTTTGGGGACAATTGAAGTATTTAGCATCATCGACAAGTGTAGTTTGATACATCCTGAAGCTAGACAAGGACTACAGCGTTAATGGCCTTGTAGCTGTGTGCCTGACACATGAAACTGTCTTGTTCAGCTGAAATATAACACTAAAGGTTATAAGCCCCATGCAATGGCTGGATGACTGTAATAGTTTCCTGTGTGACAGGTATACTGGTTGGGTGCAGTACTGACTGCCAACAGTAGAAGTACAGGATGATATAACAGTACAGGCACATTGCACATGATGTTTTCTGATTCCTTTCCTTAGTTTTGTAACTGCAGCATACAATAGCGGTGACTTTATACAAAACCAAAACATGCCGAGTTACCTGTTGTACTACTGGTGTCTGTTGTACCTGACACCTTTATCATTTAACGTATGGGTAAAGACATTTGCTTCTTGAAATTCATGCTTGATTTCAAGCTCTGAATGGAAAACTTGGTGACAGTATTAATCCAGGTTTTGAAATTCAGAGAGGGTGGGTGTGTGTGTTTGGGTCGGGTGGGGTTTGTCGTTGAGGTTTCCTGCTTATTGTCCATTTCAAAGGACCCTCCAGATATTATCTTTACCTTTATCACTAACCCGTTGAGACCGCCTCCGTGGTGTAGTGGTTAGAGCGTCCGCCCGGAGTGTGGAAGGTCGCGGGTTCAATCCCCGACCACGTCATACCAAAACACGTTAAAATATGGTACTTGTTGGTCCCTGCCTGGCGCTCGGCATTAATGGGTACAACATGGACTGATCGGCTCGGAGTCAGTATAATGTGTCTGAGTGGGGTATTCATGCTTCACTGCGGCATGTCATCTCAGTGGGCTAGCACTCTAAAACCAGCTTCAGTCTGGGCTAGTACAAGCAGACGCACATACACATACACACGCATGCACGTCGTCATATGAGTGAAATATTCTCAAGCACGACGTTAAACCAATTCCACCACCACCACCACCACCACCACCACAAACCACCACCACCACAACCACCACCACCACCACCACCACCACCACCATCACCACCACCACACCACCACCACCACAACCACCACCACCACCACCACCACCACCACCACCACCACCACCACCACCACCACCACAACCACCACCACCTCAACCACCACCACCACCACCACCACTACACCACCACCACCACCACCACCACTACACAACCACCACCACCACCAGTGTCAGCACCAGCACCATCACCACCACCACAACCACCACCACACACAACCACCAACCCGTTGATGGTCGTGATTCATTAGCAGTTGATTAGTGTCTTCACGGCCTTACATACATTGTTGCAGAAACATTGTCTGTGTATCTTATCTTTTCAGAGGTGTACTAGCCTGAAATTGTCTCTTGGCAACGTTATCAGTAGATTCTGGCATTAATATTCAGTCTGTCATCAACTGAGTGTACAAGACCAAACAAATACTTACCAAGTTCAGCATTCAGCATGGTGGCTGAAGTTTCACACTATCACCAATATATGCAGTGTAAATGTAAAACAGTATTGTTAAAGACCTGTAGTATGCATCTGTATTTCAATATGTTGCCTTGGCTCTTCTTCCACATAGACCGAAATCATCAGTTTAAAGCAACATGAAGCTAACTCACTCACTCTGTCAGTTTGTTGCCATTCATGGCTAATATGGATCTGAACTGTTGTCAACTGCTTACTATTAAACCTGTTGCACACAGGTCTGTCAGGTTAGTTCTGCCCCAGGGCACACTGATCCCTGTCTCAGCTGGCAGTTACTGTGCTTTATTGCATTGGGAGCCCTCGTACTGCCCACAGCCAAACATGGGATATATCTCGTAACGCTTGGCTGTGTTACTGGGGATTCCAGTGGCCAGTCTTGAATACTACATGATGATTTCCATAGCCGTTCAGTTGTTGAGAAATAGTTCTACAGCCTGTACCTGTGTCCTGTTCTAAGACATGGTGATTAATAATGTTTTGTGTTGATAGTTGGTGAGAGACATTTATTTGAGGCTGACATGTTGTTGTCTCATTAATCATGAGAACTTGTGTTTCATGTTGATTTCAAGGAATGTGTGGAGTGCTGTGTGCTGTGTAATTACGATCATGTATCAACCAGTGTGGTTATCTTGGAGAAAGAATGTCGCAAAAGTTTATCATGTCACGTCCAGAATTAAGGAGGGATTTTAAATGCTGATTTGCCTTGGTAATTAGGGGCTTATGTTGTCACATGATTCTGTATAGTTTTATGATTAGTTTTGTAATTAAAACCAAATTTAGTTAACCGTTTTGGTGTCCTCCCCCAAGCTTCCCAAATCAAGCATTTCGACATTTTGGCACATAAGGAAATAAAGGGGGATTTGTTTCTAATAGTGGTTGAATTGTTCATGTGATATGTTAGAGGCCTTGATTCATGTCCCACATTGTTTAAGTGTGCAGCCTATTTCTGGTGACCCTGATGGAAATTTAACGGGAATAGTGTAGTCATTCACTTACTCCAAATAAGGAAGTATGTGGTGTGTTGTGGACTGCTTATGTTTGTGGCAATAGTATTTGAACACATTTAAATTTACCATTTAGATTATGACAAGGAACCTTTGATTTTCTGTGCTCCATTTTGAACACTACATGCTGGTAGATATAGTCTAATACATGCTGGTAGATATAGTCTAATACATGCTGGTAGATATAGTCTAGATGTCTCCTTTGTTCAAATGCTGGAACATGTCTGTAAAGACACAGGGGTACCCTGTTTTTCTCTATGATCGTTGATGGGTGTTATCTTAAGTATTTTATCAGATTGAGTTGGGCGTACGTCTACGATTGGCTCTCTGATAATGGTGTAATCGTGATGAAGTTATCAGCGTGTGATCTGCACAGTCTGTGAGATTGATGACTGTATTATGATGTATAGATTCTTCACATCGTCTGTGATTTATGTCCGACCTGACCTGCACGTCCAGTACGGAAGTGTCATGACAGCTTCCATAGCCACTACAGACTTATTGCATCAAGAGTAGACACTTTGTTACCTATGTTGCACAATTTATGTGTAGCTTTTGACAATTGCGTCATAGATGAATTACTGGGGGAGACAACAATGACTTATGGTCACTGACGGGAGGATATCTGATCATATTGTCTGTGTTCATGTAGAGTAAACAGAACATTTGAGATGCAGTTGCTTATTCAAAGGGTCAGTATGTTGTTTAGCTTGTCCTAGGGTTAGTGTCAATAGTTTTAGTGGGATTACAAGTAGACGTACAGATGTGGAGCAGTCATTGCTCCAATTGTGTTTAAAATTTCATTCCTGTCTGTTTAAACATGTTTGATATGCCATTATGATATATGTTATGTATGAATCAATCTACAATGCAGGTTTTAAGGGGTTGATGATCTGTCTCTGATCTCTTAGAAGACCGGTAGATAATACATGTATGTGATATATTCTATATCTCACATTTAGTGTATGTATATATATTAGATTTAGCCTAAGTTCATAGATTTATCATACATTGATCTTACATTTTGATTCATATATTTTAATAGTGTAGACAGATATGCATTCATGTGGCCAATTACTGTATACATCTTGGTTTTTCAGGGTTCCGATCCGCTGATTCAGACAGCGAGCGCGGCAAGCTGCAGTCTCGGCGATCCAAGCTGAATGACCAGATCAACAAGGAGCTCCGAATGAGGTCTGGAGCAGAGAACCTCTACAGGTAAGACTGAGTCTAGTGTTGAGAGTGTATAACAACTCACTGGAGGCATACTGAGCAGCTGATGTTGACTGAGTGAGTGAGTGAGTGAGTGAAGGGGGGCGGGATTGAAGGATTTATCATTATCTATGTCACAATTCAACAGCAGGATCTCATGGGCAGTGTTTGAAGTCCACTGAAGATGAGTTCCGGTTGAATGATGTTTCCTTGTGGACTACTACTTGTACCATCAGGTACATTGCACCTCTGTTGTAGATTGTTTACCTGGACATGCACAATTATTATTTTCTAAGTGACCCACATTGTAGCCACACAGGAGGAAACAATACATCACATGATTATAACCACAATCGCGATTATAACCTCTGTCCTGAAGCTTGAGTCAAATACAAGTTCAGTTTAGCTTCCGAGTCCAGTGTCAAGAGGAATGTATCATATATTAGGAATGAAAAATATGTATAATGCTTACCAAAGGCTCTCATAATACAACTTTTATTTCTAATATATGATATTAATGATACAGAAACACTACCGGTTAATAATCTCTATATCATATATTACTAGATACTGAATATTTTATGATTCTTTTGATGGAGTGATTAACTGGTGGGATGAATGTTGTCACTGTGACAGTCGCTGATGTTATTTGATGATCAAACACCACTCTTGATGTACGCTCATTGATTGATAGGAGGGATACTTGTGATGATATATACAACACTAAGTCACGACACATCCTTAATGCTATCATGATCACCTCCATGGATTATTTCATAACCATTTTGCATGTGTGTACTGTAATACACTAACATGTATAACAAAGGGACACTACTCTGCACACAGTGCCTTTCATGCTTCAACCAGCCATAACTTGCACAAGCCTCAAGAGGAAGGATTATATATATATTTCAGTCATAATTCCCAGATGTTATATATACTGAGAGAAACAAGTAAAGCAACTCAGGGAAAACTCAAGTGTTCCTTTAATATCTTCCAGTGTTCATCACCAGCTTTGAATAGGGCTGTGGGAGGAATAAATAAAGAATCAGTGCCATGAAGTGGTGTTCCCTTATTTGTTTCTCTCAGTATATAAGAACAAGTCATCCATATGTAACAGGCTGGTGTCTGTAGACTTCCTTCTTGTCTAGACTTGCTTATTGGAAATACTTCCCTATCCCATTCATATCTGAAAGCATTTTGATAAAGGATACTTACCGTGCAACCAGGTCAACAAAAACACACATTAATTATGTCTTAGTTAGGCCTACTTCATGCTGTGATATCTGGCTCCTCATCAGTACATCCAGTGTAGAGATAGCAGCCAACAGGTGCCCCCTTCTCACACAATCTTGTACTGTTCCTAATGCCTCACTAATATTGCGGTCCTGGTGTGTATTGATCATGTTGGTTATTGCCTGTCATATTGATTTGTATGTTATAGTTGGCTGTGCAGTTACGATGTATAACATACCAAGGACTGTAACTAATTGATGCTAGTGTCACACGTTCAAGATGGTGAGGTAGCATAAGGGTCTTTGTGGTTCACAGAAAATAGCAAATTTGAAGGTTATGGAAAACTGAAATTATTTAGATGTTTTTAAAGACTAACAACAAGACTGATTTCTTGTCTTGCACATGCAAGTATCCTAATGCTCTAAAACATTGATCAATAAGCTTGGTTAACTTGCATGATTGTTTAACTTGCATGAATGTCACCAAGAATAAATCCTGAGGTCTGTTACCCAAGGAAAGGTTAAAGGCGTAATTTTCATGTTTTCATACATTATCTTGTACAAGGACTTGTACTGAGTTGATGACTTCAGTAATTCCAGTGGTATTTGTCATTAGGGTCATGTGTAGCTTTCAAACTCACTATAGTCTGCCTGTCTGAAACCACTACATTTTGCTTAGATTGAGTAAGAATCAAACTATTAGGCATGTTTATCTGCTTTCTAAGACAGCAGTACTTTACTGGGATTGAAAAACCTCCAGTTGTATGAACATTAGTGATGGTTATATCTATTTGTTCGTAGTGTAATGCTGCATTCAGCAGGAATTAAGTGGACCAGACAATCCCCTGATTGTCTCCATCAGCATTAATCTATGCTTTTACTGACTGACTGACTGAGTTTGGTTTTACGCCGCTTTTAGCAATATTCCAGCAACATGTAATGACATGTCAGTGTTGTTAAAGAATAATTTTAATCTGGATCTTTCACAGGGGATAATGGCTTGTAATTGTACCTTTTCGCGAGTTACAGTCACTCAGCCTCTATCTGATATATTAGATCATACGAATGAATGAAAATGTGAGATATATTTGCGCATAATCATGTAGTACTGACTCAATCCTTATAGGTTAAACCGGTTACCTAGACTTTGACGTAATTGAAAGTTCCGATAACCTTTGTGCACAACACTGATGGTAGGTGACCATCCGAAGGTGGTGCTGACACCTACACTGAGATGGGATATAGTGTACCAGCTGTGGTAGTACATGGACAGTAGATTAACCCTTACTGCATGTATTGAGCTGGAGACATTCTCCAGCAGATTATGCAAATAGTTAATACCGTAACCAGATACAGACATGGATACCTCTCATCTAAGTCTCAGGACATGGACTCAGGGATAGGTAACTGGCCATGTGTGATCTGTATATGGCATGTACGTGATGTATATTTATGTAGACATTAGGTGGGTGTAAGTTTTCATTGTATACTGGACAAAAATAGTTAGGGATATATGTAAATTTTGAAATTATGAATAATGAATAATGATCTATTTATTCATTGACACACTGATAAAATATCAATCATAAAAAAACCCAATATTCCTAACTTATTTTGTCCAGTATATTTCCAGTGAGTGGTTACTGTTGTATGCTGCATTGATATTCTAAGTCATATACCAGTCATGATGGGGGGGGGCATCAGACATGGTCTTCACTGCACCTTTGTGGGAATCAAACCTGTTTCTGTGGTTGAATGCTTAAACCACTAGACTACCCCATCTTTTAAAAGATGAACTATGAGTTTTAAGTGAATAATTCAGTTTGACTCACTGACCGACTGAGTTTGGTTTTACACCGCTGTTAGCAATATTCCAGCAATATCACAGCAGGGGACACCAGAAATGGGCTTCAAACATTGTACCAATGTAGGAAATCGAACCCGGGTCTTCGACGTGACGAGCCATCGCTTTAACCACTAGGCTACCCCACCGCCCCTCAGTTTGACATTGAATGAGGCAAGATTGACACACGACCCACCAACCGATAGATAGCAGATAGTGCTGTACCATGTTAGATGATCCACCCTCCCTAGTAGGAGTTGACTCAGTGGGACGCAGGTAACTCTGTCAGGGCTACCGAGTGTCATGGTGTGTTGACATATATAAAGTGAGTGAGTGTGGTTTTACGCCGCTTTTTAGCAATATTCCAGCAACATCACGGCGGGGGACACCAGAAATGGGATTCACACATTGTACCCATGTAGGGATTCGAACCCGGTGTAACAGGCCAAACTTTCCCCCTGGCCAAACCTTCAAGAACAAGAGTTTGAAGCAAGTAGCCTTTAAAGTCGATTCAAGGACGGGGAAACTTTAGCCTAGGCCAAATTTGGCCCCCCTAGGCTTAATCTTACTAGGGAAAGTTTGTCCTAGGCCACAGTTTGTTTGGACCAGGGAAGAAATGGCCTGCTACACCGGGCCTTCAGCGTGACAAGCGAACACTTTAACCACTAGGCTACCCCATGGCCCCTCATATATAAAGAAATAAACAATACTGACTACATAAATTCTCAAAGAGACATTCTACATCCTATTTGACAGAGATGACCATCTATAAGTTAACTTAGAAATACATGTACTAGCTTTTCCTTAATAAATCAGATGAACGTCTTTGTGTGTATTCAATGGTCATAACATTTAGATTTAGATACAATCAATTAAGACAAACAGGCAAAAATACAATCAAAATGAAATGATTCTTGGACATTATCTTTTGGTAGACTCACAGAATGTATTTTTCCTGTCATGCCTGGAGAAATTGTCACCAACAAGTTTGTCCATGATCTGATATAGAAATATGGTTCCCTTTCCTTTATGTTTAGTGTAATAACATGGTTCCCCACCCAATTTTCCAGTCTTGACAAAAACAGTACTACAAGGGCTATGGCAGCCATCAACATATTGGTTATCTGTCAATGAAGATAGTAAAAGAAAAATTGCTACACTTGATGTTAAAGGTCACATGCAACGTAAAACACAACTTTTGCAGATTCTGATACCTTCGGTATGGACTTACCAAACAAAGCGTCAAAATGCAAATTCAACTTATAAAGTTGAAAATAAACGCGATGAAAAAACCCTTGGAAATCTGGAGTTCAAACGTTTTACTAAATTTCCCCAGACTTTCTGGGGAAAACGGGTTTCAATAGCTGGGCTGCGCTCATAGCATGTGCAAGAGTGAAATAGGTTCGCGAGCTTGGAAACGGGTTGTCCGTGAATACTTTCGGTGAAGGCTTTGGTGTGAGCTATTTTTAATGTTTTGTTGATATCTCACAGGTGCGAGCTTTTATATGTTTGACAGTAAATTAACTGTTTATACAATTTCATTTGTCTATTTCACCACACGTTCTTCTTACCGAAGTCACTTCTCAGTTCGGGATACTTAAAAGCAATATCATTATTCAGCGTTGACAGAATTTCTAACTGTGATATAGATATATGTCGCTGTCACAGTCAAAACTCAATGTCTTGTTTTATTGGCACCTGTGTGTCTGCCTGCCTGTCTGCTAATGTTTAATATTCAATACACAGCTGGTATCACTGACCACATGCAATTTGAACTTAACACCAATCAGGCTATACACCATAAACAAAATGCATTGATTTATTGCCCGAGTTCGGTCTCTGTCACATTATGTAATTACACAGACAGGCAGGGTGATACTTGAACACATGACATGTTATGATGTCTGTTGATTGCAAAATGTTATACACAAAAATGAGCATGTATTTACAAAACCCAACATCTCTATATATACACACACAATAAGCCGTGAGGGCATCTGCAAATGAACCAGCCGTTACACTTGAGTGCAGACCCACCCGCCTGACTGGGTTCGGTATCCGGCTGCTTGCCGTTTCTTGGGAAGTTAACCGAGAAAGTACACAATATTGCACTTTGATGTTTAGCAATATTATCATAAAGAGGTGTGAATGGACAGCTGTAAGGGGAGATGGGAGGCCGTATTTAAGATCTTGTTTTATTTGAGACACAGTATTATATGTTTAAAGGTATCAAAATACCCTCGCGACATATATATATGTGTCTGGGAAAAAGCAATATTTGTCCTAAGTACTTTGAGAGGCATTTTAGAAGTTGTAAAGTCAAGGAAAACCAAGTTCTATGGATAGTCAACTTCTTTATTGCAATGAGTGTGACGTTTCGATGTAGGTACTAACACCATTATCAAGCAAGTGATGATAACTTGCTTCATAACGGTGTTAGTACCTACGCCGAAACGTCTTAATATTTGTCTTGAAAAATCATGGATTTGTTTTCACGAAAATGTGGGAACCCTGAATACAGTGTAGGTCTGCTCTGTGCTGTCATACAGCTTGACGAGGATGATCGGAATTCCCATGCAGCATTAAGATGGATTTGTGTTTATGTACAGTCACATGACATGCTACATTTAGAGACTGAACTGCGAGGTCGAGTCAACCCATGAGCCAAATATAGTTGAAGTTTTGTGTTACTGGCTTTTGTGAGTTGAGGTGTTTTCCATCGTAAAGGTTGAAGCTTCTGTTTCCACTGTGACTGTCAGCTGACTGCAGGAACTTCAAGCAATGTAATGGAGTGCGTATGGATTTGGATGCACTATGCAAAAGAATTGAATCGATGGCTTGAGGCGAGGTGACCTGACATGAAACAGTGTGTGTACCGTATATGACGGTAGATTAGTCGATCTCACATAAGTTGTGATCCTAATTTGACTCTCAAAAGCAGTACCAAAATGGTATGTCCAGAACATAAGCCGAACCACCAACTCATGTACATCTTCGCCACATGATCGTTCATCCGAAATAGAATATCAACACATCTGTGTTGAATTATGCAAGTTAAATGTTTTTCTTATCCTGACTCATGATCTTTTGCTTATCTCCCTTTCCTATGCGAATGGTAGTGGAACACTTGAATCCTACGAAGTTCCCATAGCGGACGTAAAAGTACACTCACCCACGAGTTACATTATGGTTGTTTTACTATCTCGTAATATACCATTTTCTTTGCAGATCTGGACTTACTTTTGTAATCTACTTCATTAATTTTACTCAAAATGTCATTCCATTATGTTTATATTAATCGTGGTGACATTGTTAACCTTCTGATACTCATAACTTACATTATTCACTGCGGCCATATTGCTCCTACTCACACCTTTGTAAGACTGTTTCATGCATATATAAACATAATTGGCTACTGAGGAATATCAACATCTGATAGCACAGTGGATTTGAACGATGGGCAATTGGGACTGATTCTGGCGTTTTTGAGCGAAGTTTGTTTGAGTTGTAAACATGTAATGGGGCCACAGGCAAATTGTGTTTGATAGATTTAGTTTTTTCTTCTCACGATTGTCATGGCCATTATTGGATTCATGGTAAGAAGGTATTTTACTGATTGACAAATGTGGAGGCACTGTCTTCACTGACAAGAATGACAGAACTATGTTACCGAGCTTCTGGTAGATCACACGGATGGTATTTGGAACAGTGTTAGGACATCAGCCAATTAGGATGTAATTAAAAAAGTGTACTTCATCACAAGATGCTGTCTGTACCTTTGATCTTTTAGCATGTTCAGCAAGTCACTACCTGGGAAAACATGATCTTCTTGTGTGCTCACAGAGCCTTGGACATATTGAAGTGCAGTCTAAAACCTTTTTGTTATTTTGTCTCATAGTTGACATGCTATCTTGTTATTTAAACAAGTCAAGATCAGCTTGTTGATCCTTGTTGCATGTTCCAGCTAAGCTAAACTGCCTGTTGAGACAGGTTGAGGCTTCTACCAGTGTCTGTGGGTAGGCCCTTCCAGCAGAGATTATATTAATGAGCCCTATTTATCAAAGGATTTCCTGTTTTATTCTGTAATCTGACTATGTGAAGTTTATTGTACTATTAACAATGGTTCAGCAGTCTTTAGCCATTAGTCTGAAGCATGGGTCAGTAGAATAGTATTTACCCTAGTAATCCTAAGTTAATGTCAGTCCCTGTAATAACGCTGAAGTCTGGTGATTGTGAAAATAATGTTAAGAGCCATCTGGGAGCTCGAGTGAGATAAGCTGAGGGTCCTTCAAAGTTAAACAATAACTATCTCTACTAGATGATATCAAGTACTCCTTGTTCAACTTGTGTAGTATGCTTGATCTCTATGTTATAACAAAGCAGTGTATTAACTGGTTCTCAAACTTTCAATATTGTTTGCTTAGTAGAAGATTGTTATGTATAAAGTAAGATAGTTAGCATATGTATATGAACTATATATTTGCTAGGTGATGTGATGAAGTGTTTGATGATCAGTTGGCATCAGCGACTCACAGTGAAAACATGACAGTCATTATAATCATTATATCACGAAAATCGTACATTTTACAGTAGCCAATAATATATGACATGTTCTGACCGGTATCAGATACTGGCCTCAGAGTGAGTGAGTTGGGTTTTACACCACATTTAGCTAGCAATTTTCCAGCAATATGACAACGGGGAACACCAGAAATGGGCTTCACACATTGTACCCATATGGGGACTCGAACCCTGGTCTTTTCGGCTACCAAGCGGACGCTTTATCCACTAAGATACCCCAACGCCCTTACCACTGAAGTTACATTGTCAGCATGTTGAGGAACTCTTTATATTTGTTGATGACTGTAGTTAATTGGTCATGGCTGGTGGGTATGTCTACACAACCCTCCTAGAGTGGATCTTCTTAAAGTTTTGAGTAGTATAATATATACTTGAATGAGCAGCTTTGGAAGAGAAAGAATTTATCCCTCTGCTAGTTGTTTTTTAACTTATCTAAAGCATGCTGAGAAACGTAAGAGAGTTGTATTGTCACCTGAGATTGTCTGCTGATCTTGTCCCCAAGCATGCTGAGTAATATATGAAAGAGTTGTATTGTCACTAGGTGGTGGTATTGTCACTGGGTGGTGGTATTGTCACTGGGTGGTGGTATTGTCACTGGGGAGGTCCTTCATGGAGTCATTCGGGGTCATTACTTGTGGCTAGTTGAAGATATCTGGACTCAGCTTTCAAGCATAGCCACAGGTGGGCCACCTTGTGGGGAGGTTGTGTATAACGCTTGCTTAGGTAACCATGATTAGAACTGTACCCAGCAACCTATGCTTGTAGTAAGACTCCACCAACTGGATTGGCTCCTGACATTATGGATTGTTCTTCTCAGTATCAGTCTCTGCACTGTCTGGGTCTGATCTGATTATTTACAGTATGGTGGGGTAGCCCAGTGGTTAGGGCATTGCCTTATTGTGCCGATGACCTGGGTTCGATTCCCCACGTGGTACAATGTGTGAAGGTAATATCTGGTGTCCCCCTGCGTGATATTGCTGGAATATTGACAAACATGGTGTAAAACTTAACTCACTCACTTACCCTGATGATTTACAGGCCAGCATATAGCAAAGTATTCAACAACAAATAAACAAATGCTATTTTATCGTGTTTATAGATTTGCTGACAGGTCACAAAAGTGAATATATTTTGTGAGAAAATATTTTGGTTGTCCGGATTTTCACAAGTCCTTGAACATTTCAGAGCGACGGACAACAAGAAACTAAGAGAGCAGGTCGCTGTGGAGCTCTCCTTCTTTAACTCAAATATTCAGCTGTTGAAAGAGGAGCTGTGTGGCCTCAACAGCAGCGTCGAGATCTACCAGCATGACAAGTGAGTAGTCCCCGACATCAACTCTCACACACATGCGAACATAAAAACACACTCACAAAACCTCGGTGTCGAGATCTACTAGCATGACAAGTGAGTAGTCCCCAACATCAACTCTCACACACATGCGAACATAAAAACACACTCACAAAACCTTGGTGTCGAGATCTACCAGCATGCCAAGTGAGTAGGCCCAACTCTGCCCCCACCATCATCTTTCACATATGCGCATGTACAAAAACACATATTAATACACACAAAACCTCCGTGTCCAGGTCTACCAGCCTGTCAAATAAGCAGAGCCCCACCACCCACTCCATCATCTTTCACATCCACACACAAGCATAACACGAAACCTTGGTGTTGAGATCTACCAGCCTGTCAAGTGAGCAGAGCCCCACCACCCACTCCATCATCTTTCACATCCACACACAAGCATATAAATGAAACCTTGGTGTTGAGATCTACCAGCCTGTCAAGTGAGCAGAGCCCCACCACCCACTCCATCATCTTTCACATCCACACGCAAGCATATAAATGAAACCTTGGTGTTGAGATCTACCAGCCTGTCAAGTGAGCAGAGCCCCACCACCCACTCCTCCATCTTTCACATCCACACGCAAGCATACACGAAACCTTGGTGTTGAGATCTACCAGCCTGTCAAGTGAGCAGAGCCCCACCACCCACTCCATCTTTCACATCCACACGCAAGCATACACGAAACCTTGGTGTTGAGATCTACCAGCCTGTCAAATGAATAGCGCCCCACCACCCACTCCATCATCTTCCACATCCACACGCAAGCATATCACGAAACCTTGGTGTTGAGATCTACCAGCCTGTCAAATGAATAGCGCCCCACCACCCACTCCAATATCGTCGTCATTATCACCCAAAGACAAGGCAGAAATCAGTTCTTCTATAAGATAGCAAAACTTTGTTAACTAGCTCATGTTATTGTGGTTCTGTATATCAGTAGATGTACATTAAACAGTATTATTCTATGTGTATCATCTGATATGAGCGAGTCGTCGTGTTTCAGCTGTTCCCGATGTGTGCCAATGATACCGCTAGGTCTGAAGGAAACGAAGGATGTCGATTTCCGGGTGCCATTCATGGTGGGTATTTCCAATTCAGATCTGGTATTAACTGTGAACACTTCCAGAAGAGCCTTGGGTTCTGTTTTCAGTGACTTTTAATAGCAGGCAAACAGGGAATAAAAAATTTAAATTGTTTTTTAATTCCTCTTTTAAATTTGTTTTTGTTGTATGAGTGATACCAGTGATGGTTAAAGTGGCTGTAGTTACAAGTTGTGGTTATGATGGTGTTGCAGGATGTTATCCTGGAGCACTACAGCGAGGATGGGAGACAGTTTGACAAGGAAATACAGGAACTGATGGACCTCAGACAGGTAACGTACTCTTACTTGTTCCTGTGTTCTGACCATCATTACATTCCTGTCTCAGTGTGTTGTGGTATAAGACATTGTAGTAAATCTCCATATATCATGTGCCACTTGTTCATGTTCCAGAGGTGGCGGTGGGGTAGCCTAGTGGTTAAAGCGTTGGCTTGTCACGCCGAAGACCGGGTTCGAATCCCCACATGGGTACAATGTGTGAAGTCCATTTCTGGTGTCCCCCGCCGTGATATTGCTGGAATATTGCTAAAAGCGCATAAAACCAAACTCAGTCAGTCAGTCATGTTCCAGAGGGGCGCAGGGATAGCCTAGTGGTTAAAGTGTCTGCTCGTCACGCCGAAGCCCCAGGTTCGATTCCCACATGGGCACAATGTGTGAAGCCCATTTCAGGGGTTCCCTGCTGGAATATTGCTAAAAGCGGCGTAAAACCATACTCACTCACTCATGTTCCAGATAGGGTACCTTGGAATATGTGTTTTATATTCCGGTTTGTGGGTACCCTGGAATTGGTGTTTCAAGCCTCATTTCTTAAAATATGTTTTATGCTCCAGGATATCCAAGTGTATGTGTTTCCTGTTCCCAAATGGCGGTATTCCATAGTTTGTGTTAATATTTGTGTTTCAGGCAATTCGGACCCCCTGAGAGACTGGTCTGGTGTCGAGCTACTCACTGAGTACTTCAACCAGCTGTATTACGTTGAGAGGAGATTCTTCCCTGAAGAAGGAAGCCTGGCCCTACACTTTCACTGGTATGTTGTACAGGCCTACAACTTCTTTGTTGTATTTCATAAATTATAGGAAAAGATTTTTCTCAGCCCCGGATCATGAGCAAAGAAGGCAAAGGCTTGAGTTCGCTTGAATTGAGAATAGGGGTAGGATAAATTTGTATAACCACAACATATATGAGAATATGGGTATGGCTAGGGTTTGAGAATAGTGGTAAGATAAATCTTGTATCATCCCAACGTATATGAGAATATGGGTATGGCTAGGGTTTGAGAATAGTGGTAGGATAAATCTTGTATGACCATAACATATATGAGAATAGGGGTATTGCTAGGGTTTGAGAATAGTGGTAGGATAAATCTTGTATCATCCTAGTATATATGAGGATATGGGTATGGCTAGGGTTTGAGAATAGTGGTAGGATAAATCTTGTATCATCCCAGTATATATGAGGATATGGGTATGGCTAGGGTTTGAGAATAGTGGTAGGATAAATCTTGTATCACCATAACATATATGAGAATATGGGTATGGCTAGGGTTTGAGATTAGGGGTAGAAAAAATCTTGTATCATCCCAGCATATACAACCAGGTTTTATAGAGCCTTGTGAAGACAAAAACAATCACCCGAGCTATTTCACACTGATGCAATGTTTGCTTGCTCTATAATACCTTGACTGTCCCAATGGGTTTGGATGGTGGCTTCCTGATGTGTGGTTGATTCTGTAGACATATATGACTGAACATGATGTGGCACTGCATGATGGGGTGGCTCACTCCCACACTGTTGCTTCATTGAGTGACGTCAAATCATATCACTGAATATTTTAAGATTGACATCTTAAAATATAGAGGTTATCTTGTGTGTCTTCGTATCCTAAATACCACACATCAGGAGTGGAAAATATTCAGTAAACTTGGCAAGGGAATTTTTTTTCCTATTATATATAAACTTGTCACTTGGAAAATCACTCAGCTACTGTTTCTGCATGTTATTACGAGTCTAACTAGGATGACCACAGACAGCAAGAAAGTGTAACATCTGGTTGTTTGTTGCCTGGCTGTTTGGTCTTGACCTATTTGTGAATATTTGTCCAGTAAATGCTTCATGTTGACAGGTATGACTCGTTGACTGGCGTCCCCAACACACAGAAGGCTATAGGCTTTGAGAAGGGCAGCGTGTTGTTCAACATTGCAGCTCTCTGTACACAGATTGCATGTAAACAGGTCAGTTAGTATTATGTCACATTTGGACTTTGGGAAGCCCAAGAATATGGGGAAGGTCACCCTAGAGTTTGTGGACAAGATGAGTCTCAGACCTTTGAGGAACAATTTTTTATGGATTGACAGCTTCTTTATTGCAACAGATACGACATTTCGGTGTAGATGCTAAGACTGATATCACTGTCACTAAAATAACGGTAGACAAGGGATGAAGTAAGTACGTCATCAAGCACCATAATACTGCACATGTCCCGTCTACGGTAGGCTTACATTTTGGGGGAGCTTTTGCAAAGGTTAGGTTTAATCAATTTATCTGTTTAATCAATGTGTCTAGCCTATCCCGTTTCAATATATATTTGATTTTAATGTTTCAGAGTGTTAAAAATGGACCAATGATTGTGTCTCAGTTTTGAGGAGTGCAATACTCATTCAAAGTAAAATAGCAGTTGTCTAACAGAATTTGATAGAAATAATCACTTTGTCTAACTTGTGTTTTACAGGATCGTATGACTACCGCAGGATCAGAAGAGGCAATACGAGCTTTTGAGAAAGCTGCAGGATACTTTCGCCACCTGGAAACCCACTTCAAGCATGCTCCCAGTATGGACATGCGTCCGGAGACTCTCACCATGCTGGTGGAACTACTGCAGGTAGGCAGCTCCATTACCTCACCAGACTCAGCGAGGATGGCCGCTGGTCTCCACAATAATTGAATCCAGACAGTGTAGTTTTAACTCTGTAATTAATAAATGGGGCACATTCTCTCTAAGATGTGGCAATTCTCTGTGCTGAGTCAAGTTCCTTGGCAGCATCGTACCTGTGTTTGTGGGTTACACCCAAGTGGAAAACATGCCAGTTTTGTATGTTCCCTTTTATACTCTTTGAGTTTTGGTCGAGCATTTATATGAATTAGAAGTATTGAACTCTGCATAGTTGCCATGATGAGTAGGGGTTTAACTTCGTGTGTTGATCTGTTGTAGCAAGCAAACAACCCTGACCATTTTGTAATGTCTGCATATTTTCCAGACATATGAATTTAAAAAAAGAAATTTAAATATAAATTGACTTATTGATTGCATTTTATGAACTGTAATGAGTAGCTGAACATTTGAATTATTGGATATGTAATATATATTCATCAGCATCAGATGATGATGGATTGTTCTCCATCATGTAAACTACAGGGACGGTTTTAAAGGATTATTACATGGCGTAACAGTGTCAGTCAATTTAAACGATATAAACATTTGTAATTTAGCAAAACAGCTATTTAAGGTGTTGATGCAGACGTAATGACTAGTGCTGGTACAAATACAGCGGACTACAAGGACATGTGGTATGTTGCAGGCTCAGTCCCAGGAGTGTGTGTTCGAGAGTAAGACCATCCATGGCCTCACGGACGGCGTGCTGTCCTTGGTGAAAGTAGCACAGGAATCGGCCTATGTGAGTGAATGTACATGTCTGTCCTCAATAGGTCTAGACTCAAATGGGGTTACGAGAGTGTTTATTCAACTGTAGTATATCAACTCAAATCTTGTAATGGATGTAGATCTGTGACATGGATTATTACTGGTATTGAGGACTATGTATTCAGTTTAGAGCCCATTCTCTTCCCACAGAGGTTACTTGTCATATCTTCCTACGAACCTCTGTTCTAATGCGGCCCTTTCATGGCGCAAGTGTTCAGGATTTGTGATTGGTTGCAATCAGATTTAGTTGTGCAATCAGCAACGTTGTTTCAAAAGTGATCATTCACAAGGCCTTGGTAATTTCTGTATGCTTCTAGACAGAACTCAGTTGTGTAATGGCAGATCCCTAGTCTCCATCTCCCTCGTTGAAAACGGACAAGATAGCCATTAAATGTCTTGTGTGTCACATCAACACAAGTTCCCGTCTGAGGAGGGAGATTTGTGGCCCCACATTTGCTTTTATTAGTCAAGTTGGATCTAAGTCGATGTAACACGTGTTATGAGTGGATAGAAGGAAGGGAGATAATTCATGTTGCAATGTTTTGCCAGTAGGGGAGTTTACGAGTACTGGGAAATATGGCCGTATTAGAACAGAGGTTCGTAGGAAGATATGACAAGAAACCTCTGTGGGAAGAGAATGTGTAGAGTCATGTCACCTGCAGATTTAACTTTGCTATATTAAGTTTCAAAACACACACAAACAATGTGAGTTTTCAATACTACATTAAAGTAAGTTAAAGTTTGGTATTCAAGGTAGAATAAAAGTTGTCATACATAATATTCCTTGTCATGATATCCAGCTTTAGAAATAATATATAATGTATGAACATATTTGTCGAAAGTTTGCACTATTTATACCCAAACAATGCATAATTTCTCAGGGAATGGCTAATAGGCTGTCTCCTTTAACGTTTTATGAAGCTCTCCTGTGGTTTACTGTATTACTGTGTTGTAAAGTAGTATTACATGATAGATATAGGCACATGTTTTAACTAATTTAGTATATTTCATGTTTCAATTAATTTAAAAGATTGGTATATGTACTTTCACATTTTTTCTATTCATGTTGCAATTTTCTATTTATCATGGAATATATGGTGCCAAGGTCAAAATATTTATCGGCAGTAATATACTGAGGGAAACAAATAAAAGATCACCACTTCATGGCTGTGTACCTTATTTATTCCCAGATTTCCACCCACAGCCCTATTCAAAGCTGGTGATGAAAACTGGAAAATATTAAAGGAACAGTTGAATTTTCCTGTGTTCCTTTATTTGTTTCTCTCAGTATATGTTGGTTTAAGACTATATATATTTTTCTGCATGGACGATCACAGTATTTTTCTGGATGATAGGTTTCTGAAAGGTTCAGAGTCACACACAGACTAATGTCCGCTGAGCCTGTCAAGAGTTACCTCCCCTTCACATGGACCGCCATGGCGCAGACAAAACACTACTACTACAAGGGACTTGCTCATTCAATAGTAGCCACGGCTCTCCTGGACCAGAAAGGTAGAATGAATTGCTAGATAAAATGATTTCATGTGTTTCTTAATGATGAATATTTCCCATGGGAATTAATGTAAATAAGCTGCTGTTACTTGTGAAAATCCAAGTTAGAGCTGATCTTCAGCAATCCTTGCTTGTTTTAAAAGGTGTGTAATTGGGTATGGTGGTCAGGCTCGGTAACTTAGTAAATTTCATTGTATCCCAATTATGTAGATCAGTGGTCATGATATCAATTACTGGATTGTCTGCTCCAGAATTGGTTATTTACAGATTGCCATTATATAGCTACAATGTTTAGTGTGGTGTTTATATAACGAGGAGAATGTAAGATCAAAGGCAGGTCTTCACACCTGTAACAAGATGTTTCACACCTGTAACAAGATGTTGAAAGCTTTAAGACAATGAGAGGATGAATAATGAAAGTAAATGGGCATCACTTGGTTGTTGGTTCAGATGATGTTGTTAAGCCTCTGCTGTACAGGGAAGTAGTGTTCAAAGAAACCGGGACAAAACCTGTAATGGGTCTTTTGTGTTAACCCTTTTGCAAATCCAGTCAGATGTCAACATGCTCACATAAGTTCAGTCTGTTACCAATTGTACAAGCATTGACTGGAGTTGACTGATCTGTGACTTGCAGACAGCGGTGACCTGGACAAGCTTAAACAGATGATGGAGAAGCTCCATGTGGGTTCCGACCTTCGCGATGAAAACAATGGTCTCAAGATTCCCACAAATGACAACGACAGAAAGATTCTAGGTGAGTCCAGTTATGGATTATCAGTAAGAACTCTCTTATGACAAGGACTCTTATTTTTTATTGTCATTGTGTGCATATTAACATTCTATCGCAGATATTAGGAGCCTCAGAAATTCATTTTTTATTTACTCCACAGGAAACTTTACTCCACTGGTGATGTTTCTATCTGTTTTATCGAGTTCTAATTTGTAGCTGAATTAAAGCTAAGGTTCTGGTTCTGAGCACTGGTTCAGCATGGTAGGCTATCTGAAGCTAACAAGAACAGTTCAATATTTTTCAACAAAGGTAGATATATAGAACCTTAAGTGGTGCCTTTTGCTATTTGCCGATTTTTGGCATTTTTACCCGTAGTCCCAAAAGTGAGTCTATGTTTCCAGAGCATAACTCAAGAACCGTTCAATATTTTTCAACAAGACTTGGTAGATATATCAAACAGAACCTTAAGTGGTGCCTTTTGCATTTAGATTTTTGGCATTTTATTTTCTTGGTTTCCATGAAACATTTTACAGTCTCAAAAGTAAGGATTGCTTTTCGTTTCCGGAGCACAACTCAAAAAACCATATAATATTTTCAACAAAACTTGATAGATATATCAAACAGATCCTAAAGCAGATTTTTCTACGAGCACAACTCAAAACCTCTCTATATCTTTCAACAAAACTGAACTGGAAGTGATGCCTTTTGTCGATTTATTAAGTCTATGCATTTACAGTATAGGAAGTACGACAGTCGTGAAGTCTATGTTACAGCATAGGACTGGAATGATTTTCTATCTGTCGAAATGTTCTAAGTCTATGTCTTTGTGAAGTCTATGCTACAGTATAGGAAGTACGACAGTCGTAGCGCTACGATAGCTTTGTGAAACGGGACCCTGGTCTCTAGGACCAGTTATTGGATTTTTTCTTGTTCTTGGCACAATTACTTAGTCCTTTCGAGCTAACTAGGATGAATTTTATTGGTCAGTTAGTTTTATTGGTCTCATGACTGAGTTACTGTCCATTGATAAGCTGACTCCTGTGTTGCAGGCAAGGCTCACCTGCGAGAGTCTGTACTGAGTCACGAGGAAGCCCTGCGAGTTCATGACCTGTGTAAGCAGCTGAGGAAGATTGACACCTTCCGGGAACTTTTGCAGAAAGCTCACGAAAGGTAGGATACAAAAGTTGTCATCATCAGCTTTAAAAAGGTGATAACGAAAAGATGATAATGAGAAACTCATATGTACTGAGGGAAAGAAATAGAGAATCTCACCCAAGTGTCTACTGATATCAATTTTGTCAACATGAGTTAATAAAGTTGAAAATATCCGAGGTTTGCAGAGGATATTTTTTCCTTTATCAACGAGTGTTGATATATTTGGTATCAGAACACACGAGGGTGAGATTATATTTATCATCAAAATCACTCTTCATTAGTTTTCAATGAAAAGTGTAAATCTCTGAACACGGTTCTGCCATTAGACTTGTAGTGGAGTGATGTCATGGCATTGGGACGTCATCAAGTTTATGGTGTCATAGCATTGTTATGTCATCATGTTTTTGATGTCATAGCATTGTGATCTCATGTAATGTATGACATCAGGGCATTGTACAAAATCTACTGCCAAAACTGTCTCTCCTAGGAGATATCGTTTGATCTCACACAAGCAATATCTCCAGTGGAACACAGTTTTGGAAGATAAATAACAGCCATCCACTCACTCTGTGGTGATTTGTCTGGAATATTGCTAACTTGATGTAACACCAACTCCCTCACTCACTCTGTACACAGGACACTGGAGAAGTTCGAGGGTCTGGAGGAAGAAGATGACTTCTCCGAGCTACTGACCGTGCCGCGTATCGAGGGAAAGGCGGACAGGGAAACAAACCCCACACCTCCTGAGTTCTCCAAAATCAAAGTCTTGGACATCTTTGCCACACTAGTGAGTCATTTTATATTTATGTCATGACACTTAGTTATCAAACAGACGCAACGGAATGGAATATATTGTTGTGTAATGCATCAGTAGAGAGGTTCCTACTGGGAACAACTTTATTATGAGTTCTGAAAAAGGTATGATAGACAAACGTTTGGTGAAATACATTTGTGTGAAGTGAAGATCTTCATTGTGCCAGCCTCTGACTCACAATACAGTAGGCCCTTGGGACTCTCATGAAGCAGGTCAGTCAGTTTGACCTTGTGGACTTCAGTTCAGTCAGTCAGTTTGACCTTGTAGACTTTCAGTTCAGTCAGTCAGTTTGACCTTGTAGACTTTCAGTTCAGTCAGTCAGTTTGACCTTATAGACTTTCAGTTCAGTCAGTCAGTTTGACCTTGTGGACTTTCAGTTCAGTCAGTCAGTTTGACCTTGTGGACTTTCAGTTCAGTCAGTCAGTTTGACCTTGTGGACTTTCAGTTCAGTCAGTCAGTTTGAGAAATGGGCAGTTGTGATGTTACAAGTTGGATATTTTTGTGAGTAAATGTAAAATATTTTGATGTTTTGTTGCCTTTCAGGGTCCTATCACCATATTCAATTCCCGGAACGAATGGTCCGCTGCCCGGAGAGTGCAGCTAAATCGTAGTGACGATGAAGGATTTGGTTTCAGTGTGCGTGGAGATTCACCGGTCATGGTTGCTGAGATTGAACCAGAGAGTGTAGCTGGGGTAAGCATTGCTTGTGTTGGTCCTCTGAAGGTATAGTAATATGAAAGAACTGGGTGTTCTTTAAGTTAACTGGAGTAGTATACTTGGCCTGTTAACTGATTTTTGAATGTTTCATTGCAGAGGAGCTCCATGAAGGTGGGAGATTTCGTTGTGGGAGTTGGAACGATGGATACGAAGTGGGCGAAACATGAACAAGTGGTTCAACTGGTTCGACAGGCTGGAAACTCACTAGAACTCCGATTGATTACACCCATGGGCCAGAGTTTTCTGGAAAGACTTAATGCAGATCGGCCATATGCAACAGTTAGCTTACCTGCATCACCTGTTAGAATGCAGAGCCCTAAGAGCAGTGTCTCTAGCGAAAAGAGCAATAAAAGTCGCCTCAGTGCACCCTGGATTTTCATGAGGCGGAACTCTTCAAAGGAAAAGTCAGAAAAACGGAAGTCATCTGATGAATTTGATGATGATATTGTGTCCAGGTAGACTCACTGTTGAAGTGTCCGTGGTATCTACTTCATGAAAGGACGTGTTCATGCAAGACAGTGTTGGTCTTTGAGACACACCAAGATACGTCTGCATCCACAGTGCTGTGTTTCTATGGAAACAAATTTGTGTATAAGTGCTGAGGTGCAACCATTGTGTTCAGTGTTTTGGATTACGACATGTCGCGTAGCTGTCTTCGCTAAAGGTGTTGAGTATCAAGAGGTCATAATGTTACAGCTGACGAATGTATATTCTCTTGTGAGCGGAAAATGGATCCCAATCTCCCTGGGCAATCCTGTATCTGGTCTTTCCTTGTTTTGAGGGTTTCTTCTTGCTGATGCTTAAGGTTCCCTCGAGCCAGTGTGTGATTGTGTTCATAGTAGCCAGCTGGTATTGTGTTCAAAGTAGCCAGTGGGTGATTCAGTTCATAGTAGCCAGCAGGTATTGTGTTCAAAGTAGCCAGTGGGTGATTCAGTTCATAGAAGCCAGCAGGTGATTGTGATTGTAGCCACCAGTATTATTGGTTTACAAGACATGCTTGCCATCTAGAGACTTTGTACAAGTTGTGCGTATGGACCTACATGTTGACAAAGGTGTTGGAAGCTACAGATGCTATGTGAAGACTCCTGGAGGGATACTCCTAGAAATCACAGCGACACCATACAGTCACAGTTTGAAGGGCAGCAGTGTGGTGAAGACATAAGTCATTGATTTGGCGTTATTCAAAATGACATTTGAGGAATGTCTAATTTTCAAGGTTTTTATGCAGTGGTTAATTGTAATTGTTTTGAAGATATTGGAGATGAAACCCAAATTTGGGTTTGCTAATCATGCATGTGAGACACAAGCAACTACTTATTGTTGTACACCGAGGCTAGAGCCATCCAACCCAGTTTCAGAAAATGTCTTTTAAGCCAGTAAAAGTACAAACATACACAAGTACTTGTAACTTAAGAAATACCTATGTTTACATATATCTTCTTTGTTAAAATGATTTTGATTGTTTGAAATTAATGCACATGAAGTCAATCACTGGATTGTCTGATCATAACATAAAGTGAAGCAGCATGATTGTACAACCAGAGTTGTACTGACGCTGAAGTTCTGTGGATAGATGGAGGGGACGTAGTTTATTTGAGACAGCTGTGAATTAGTTGTTTCCAAGACTGTAGGAAAACATCCAGAGTGTGTAAGTTTCGCCCTGACCATGTATCAGGTCATTTTGAAATTCTCACTCAATTTTCAAAAGTTGTGTTTAGTTTTACTTAATTGGTACAGATAGTCAGACTTCTGTTACCTCGCTGCCTATATCTAAATTTGATAGCTAAATATGAGCTTAAGTGTTTACAATTCTGTATCAGTCATTCAGTTTTAATGAATTAGTGCGTAATATCAACCGTGTCCGCAGTTTCCATGTAATGTGAACAAGTTTGTGCCCAAATTGAATATCACAAAATGTATCGTGTAGTATCTTGACTAAAGGATCATGGGACATGTCATGTATTACTTGAGAAGTATGATATGTATTGATACACAAGGTAGTTGTATCGTAACACTGTTGCGATCGAAGTATAAGTAATGAGTAGCACTCTGATAATCTTAATATCATTGACAAACTCATTTTGTCGTACATTCCATAACATGGAGCCACCTGTAATACATCTGCAGTGATGAACGTAGTGTGAAGTAAATCATTCCGTACTGAACTATGACCACCACACAGACACCAAGAACCAGACTAGGAAAAGAATCGTATTTATCTAAATTCAAAATAATTCTGAAAGGGACAGTTTTATGATATTATGGAATGTGGACCTGATTTGTAAAAATAATCATCTCGTCAGGACCAAACAGGAATTTGAGGAATCTGACACGATTGTTCTGTTTACAGTTGATTGTGGGTTCCTAGTCTTCATCATAATCCATACAGTACACTGCCACGTTCAGCCTACACTGAAGTCATTGCATTGTACCCTTCCAGTCCTCCATTACTATCGAGAATTTTACCATTACTTGCCCCGCACCACTGTATCATGTAGGGCTGGCTAATATGATCGTTGATTGGAAATATCATCAATAGGAATAATTATTATTGATTATCGATGTGAAAATTGTTATCAGAAGGCAAAGGTTTACGTTTCCCAACACAATGTACAGATTTAGGACTTTATTCATGGTCTGCTTCTAAGTTATGTTCAGGATGCTGTTTCGTTAATAATTCATGCAAAAACATGTCGCCACTCACCAGTGATGGTGCATTTTTGCTGAGAGTTACGTCTTTGATATTTATCTGTAATCCCTATGATCTATATCGATAGCGATATCCAGCCCAGATGTCATGTTGCTTGCATCACAGTCATGGTCCTGTACCACCATCCACACATTTGTACCAGTGCTCAACATTTTGAACATCATAATGATCCCAATTTGTAATTCTTTAAGGTCCACACTTAGTACATGTTAAAGGAAACATATTGAAAACATAGCTTTCTTTGCACTGATTCCAGAAAACAGATGTCATAAATTGCTTTGAAATATGATTTGTAAGGACATGTATCATGAATTGTGACACCTATATCTTCCCCGAGAACAAATGGCATAAACTCATCTTTTGTAATTGTTTACTACGTTTAAGATGTTTACTAACTTGATTTATCATTTGTAGCATCATGAGAACAGACACTGCCGTACACTGAAGTGTGACACTGTCACTACTGGATGGGTGTCCCCGACTTCCAAGTGTCGTGTGTGTCCGCTCCATTATGACAAATTCTGTGGGCCATTCTGCTGCCATAACTCTGTTTTAGATGTGTCGTCATGACCGCAAATCAAACTGCCTCATTTAAACAGGATTCGGGGAAAATTAATCTTGCTTGACAATGGTACAAAATTTGTATCAAAACGTACACGAAATAAATAAAAGAATCCATAAACTATACATATATATTATTTAATAACCTGGGTAAGAAGATGTATTCCTGAATATTACAAGAAGCAAATGGATGTCAATGTGCTACAAAACATGTGCAGTTATGAGTCAGCAACAACATGGCGAAGTTGCTGCTGATTCAATCATTTGGTTGGACAGCTAATTTAACATCATGACCAGTCTCGAACACAGTATGGTGGCAGATGGGTCCAGTGTATTTGTCACACTAGGATGGAGATGAGACCCTGGTCTACAGTGGGTAGAGAGATTAGTCTAGTATTAACCTACCATGTCCCCATCACCCGCAGTCTACAACTTGCAGTTTTCCATGTATGTATTGTTGGATCTCTGTTGTATAAATATAGTATTGTGGGACAGCTAGATGGAAAATTTGTGGTTATTTATTTGCAGAATATCAAACTGTGTTTATCTAGTCTGCCAGTGCAAATTGATAAACAATCATTTTCTACCTGTATTAATGAACTCATTTATCCGTAAGTCAGTTTTGGTCAGATTTTCTTGGAATATAATTTTGAGTTAGATGATAGTTATGGAAAATTAACATACTCATGTTTTTCACTTATAAACATAAGCTGATCAATGAAAACCACATGTTATGAAAGAAATGATCGGAAAAGGTGAAAGGTAAAGATGAAGCTGATGCAATTTCAGCAATTCGATGACTGACAATTATCGTAGCACTTTAATGATTGCTATTCGCACAGTCTATTGCTCCCGTTGAATTAGAGCAAGATTATTGAGTGAAGTACTTTGATGATAATCTTTAAGTATAACATGTAGTGTTTGTATTTTATTCACTGACATAGTTTACTGGCCAGATTCTGCAGTAGATAATTGCGTAGCCATGGTAACTGTCCCATTTACTGTGAAGCCTGATACCTCGTAACTTGGTGTAGAAGTGCCAAGTATTGTTCAGTATTGTAGAAGTCCCTAGTATCGGTCAGTATTGCACCTAACCCAGCAGCATAAATAACATATTGTCATAATACAGCCCAACATAGGTGTCTTTCCTGTTCGAAAGTTCGAAAACATGAGGCCATTTTTTGTAGCTTCCCTTGAAAACAAACAGTAATTGGCAGAATGTCTGTAAAATTCTGATTTCAATGAAGATAATTATCCCTTTTGTCTGGGGTAGCACAACACATTTATGCCAGTGGTATTTCATATGAAAAACTACAAAGATGGTTAATGAAACTAAGGTACAAGTGAGAAAGTAAGAAAACGGGTTTGTGGCTGTCAGCACCAGATTACGATCTGTCGGGACACTGACACATAATTATTTTTGTGTATTTTCTGTCTGTCAGAGTAACCAGTGGCTGTTACAGGGATGTAATTCAATATACATAAGCAGTGATCATATCCGAGTGATTATCTGGTGGAAATGTTTTGTAGATACAAAATGTTCGGATTCCATTTTCAAAAATCGATTCGTGGTCAAACATTCAGTAATTAAATACTTATTTACAGAAAAGAATAAAAGTACCAAGATTTGCCTTTGATGTGAATCGTATTTGATACATGAACCTTTAAGCTGTGTCAGTAACCAGACAAATGTGAGATTGCTGTGAATGGTAATGTCCCCACTCTGTGGCAGACCTGGTTGATGCTGCCAGGCTTTAGGCAATGGATTCTGCAGGCAGAATTCACCCTGTACAGACAGATGTGTCTATTTATTCATAATACACTAACTACTCGTATGTCTGTAATCAAATGTAGTTTTTCTGTAGCCTGTGTTGCCCACCTGTGTTGTCCATAGCTGGAGAACAGCATAGGTCGTTCTCTTAAAGGCATCTATTTATGAGGATAAGGTGTATGTTAGTGGGAGATTTTGTCTGCACATAGCAGTGTTTTGTAGACCATTTCTGTATGTTTCCTTGTTCTGTCAGATTTCAAGCTCTGGTACAATTTGTATCTTGCATTTCAGGCATAAAAGATGTGAAGAGACTGTAAAATTGAAATACATGTATATTCATATGATGGTATATGTCACAATCATTTCTATAATGGTGAGGAATATGAACAAACTTAAGTGAATCAGCAACATATTTGGAGAATCATTATTTAGGATGAAACTACTTATAATCTGTGGAAACTATGATAGCTACATCAGACATATGCTGCTCAAGATAAGTTAAGGAGCACCTGACTTTTTTCACATTTCTATAGTTGTATGGCCATAACACAATAACTATAGTAATACGAAACAATCAAATATTCTTCAACTTCTTTTGGGTAGTATATTATTGATTATTGTGATGTTATGACTATGGATATTTTGACGGCCATTGTTAATCAGTAATCTGCTACTGACATTACTTTATACAGTATTAGTGAATTCAGCATTTTATTTGTGTGACTTTGTTTTTGATTATACAAAGCTTTGCGCCAGTAGGAAGTCAGTACTTCTGCTATATGTCCTCAGTCAGAAGATTTGGGGGTAAGAATGGCTGGTGTATACACAGAGTATATGTATGGTCTTAGCTGTGTGTTTAAGTTGACACACATGGTGCCTGGAGTATATGGCAAACAACCACTCAAAGTACGACGGCCTTTATAGCTGAAGACACTTGGACATTTTTTCATCCACATTCTTGCCATTGATTACCAACACAATGTTGCAATAGGATACAGTGGGTCTTTGTAAATCCCGAAACTTTGCTAACACAGACCACTATTGTTTACTTTCTAATTTCTTAAGTGACATTATGATAGCCTAAGATTGGACTAAGTTATTCATGGTATAATGCTCAGCTATTGATAGGGAAGTTGTGTACATATATCAACAGATAAAACTCACGTCAATAGAGGATTAGTATTGTAGAAAGCTGACATACTACTCGGTGCAACTAATTATGATGCTAACAGACATGAAAAGAACTTGTTGTCAAAGAGGAAACATAGCTGAGAGTTTCAATCATGGCCCACAAATTTGTTGTCAGATTTGATGTTTTGACTGAAGAATATCACTCTCTTGACTATATGAAAAGAATTAACCAGTTTATTGTTGTAATCTTAGTTTCATCGTTTATGTAAAATTGAATATGCCACAAACTTATGCAAGTCTTTTTCCCTCCAAACCATTTTGTCCTTACCGAATATATCTGTCCAGTAAATATTAGCTGATTTTGTGCCTTGTGTATGTCTACATGCATATTTTATCTCTGAAGCATGCTGAGACGTTTATGAGATTATGTAAATGTATAAAATATGAGAGCCAAGTTCCAATAGATTTGGTGATGTGACTTCATTATTTGTGAATACATTTCATTCGACTGGCATGTTATATTTTCACATTTCATGTACATGAAATATATTCCTATCCTGACAACTACTGTATACTACTCAAACCAAGTAAGGAACAGCTGCAATTGAAAGGCTGTATGTCGCAATGCCCATCAGCCATGACCATGACTATTGTCAAAGGTCAAGTCTTTAATGTCTTTCAAAAGTATACTTTAATTTTCTTACATTTCCTCCTTGTGTTTGGGGCTGCAACACTGGGTTCTCTTCTCCAGGATTCAGATTCAGGGTTATGAGAGGTGTATTTGCTAAAGTAGTGTAACATCTAATCAAAATCAGTCATGTAGTGGCCTCGTGTTAGACATTCAAACAATGACTTACAGCATTTCCCTTAATGTGCAATGTGTTGAGTGATATTGAAGCCAGTATTACACTTTGCATATGAGGATATTCTAGTCAGGCCCTGGCTAGAAACTCCTGTCATACATAGTCACACATTAGACCTGCTTCCAGCTTAATGCTTCTTCTTTCGATCTTATGGAAATACTCAGTTTTCACCTGATGGCGTTGATGTATAGGACTTAGATGAATGAAGGACCCCAAGATTCTGTCATGTCACTTCATATTTTTCAGTGACATGACAGATGAACTTGAGTAATGTGAAACAAATGGTTGTTTGCTCAACTGTTTTTACATAGTTTTACAGTTCAAAGGAATTTGTAAAAACAAAAGTAATAAATTGTTCTCTTGGAAAAAGAGGGTTCATTACCATTATTGGTGAAACAGTAAGAGAATAATTTTGCTACTATTTTGTATCCCAGTTGATTGGCCTTATAGTCCAATATGTTATGTAACAATCCAATGTATTTAAGAGGACAAAGGTGTACATGTGTTGAAACATCATTTTTCATTGATATGCTTTACAGGTTACTCTGTCGGAAGTGCTAGCTTGCTCTCTGCCTTACTAACATTTTGCCAGTGAGATCATTATTTTCTATTGTATACATATGGGTCAGTATGTGGCCATGTATATTGTACCGAGAGTATTATTTTCACACTACGCATGTTGTAACGATATGTACATGTGTATATGTTCACCCATTGGTTGTCCTCGTGTTCTTATTGGAGGCATGTCAGCAATAAGGACACTCCTCCACGGCAATAGCTTATAGTTTGTTTGTTTTTTGGTTTGTGTCATTTTTGTTTAGTTCATATTCAACACAGCATAATTATCATGTGTTCTTTCCACCTGTCAATATTAGCTCTCGTAGTCTTCCCATTGTCCAGAGTTGCCTCCCCTTGACCGCCAACACACTTGTTTTTTTAACATTGTAAGGTTGCTATACTGTTTGGTCATGTAAAAGTGTTAATACAATATGAATACTATAATGTACTAGAGCTTTAAATATGCTAGATATATTTCACTATTTGATGGTACAGTGTAGCAAGCTGATTATTCCAAACTAGAAGGAGTAAGTAAGTGAGTTGGGTTTTACGCCGCACTTAGCAATATCACAGCGGGGACACCAGAAATGGGCTTCACACATTGTACCCATGTGGGGATTTGAACCCAGGCCTTCGGCATGAGGAGCGAATGCTTTAACCACTAGGCTACCAAAACAGTGGGGGAGGTAGCTAAGTGGTTAAAGCATTTGTTCATCATGCTGATGACCCTGGTTCAGTTCTGTAGATGGGTACATTTTGCGAATATCAGCGTAAAACCAGCTCACTTGCTCTGGCTTGATAAAGACATTGCTCATTACCATTTCAACATATGAGTAAATAATTCAATAACATTTAACTAGCTGTTTAATTTCATAAGACACAGAAATGGAAATCATTAGAACTACAGGTTTGAAACAAATGTTCCTGCTCAGAACACACTGCTGACCATTATGTTGTTTCTGTAGAAAATGGTGGCACAGGATTGGTCAAGGGGAGATAAGTGGTGTGGTCCACCTGCATTGTTACTATTTGAAGGGGGCTTATTCAAAGCTTGTGAATAGATACTTACATTATTGCGATAGTTTCATACAGTGTTATATTATATTTTTGACAGTTGATGAGTTAATAAAACCAATATAATATGACATTTCATGCATTTCTTTTCAAAGGAAGTTGTGGTCTTATGTTCCAGAGTTTGGTGATAACAAACAGCTGACCTTTTGCCAGCAATTTTATTATGACTGATCCAGACTCTTATTTACAGGCTGCCTAGACATAGTTGGACTAGAAGAAGTCATAACCAGTGCCCTCCATTCATAGGTTTCAAACAGATTTGATGTAATTTGACAATGAAGGAAAATGTCTTTGGTGAAAGTTACATATTTCAGAAGGTGGCATCATAGAATTCATGAATAAATGAAAACTGCCTTCAGTATCACAAACTATTCCCATTGTTTCAAACAATATTTTTTACCAATTCAATATGAGCTTGATGAGGCAATGGAATGATCAGACAAGAACATTTAGAAATGTCAATGTTTCCCCATGATCATGATCACACCAAGTTTAACAATCGAATATTAAATTATTAAATATTGATTGGTTTTTAACTGTTCTTTTGTAATGTCATACTGTTAGTTTGGTAAAAATAGCTGACTAATTAAAACATTTTCAAAATGTCTTGAAAATAATTGATTGTGGGCAGTGGATCCAGCCACAGCTAAGGGGCACAACTCTGGCGCACAAGATACTGCAGTTGTCTGACAATCATGAAGAGACCAACAACAAACAACTCAGCAGCATTTCTGTTTAATGCCAGTCCAATATACAAAACATTATCACTCTCATAACACACCAGTAACATGTTGGCTGTGGTAACATCCTTCCACTGACATTCAAGGTACTATATTCACACTTCATTCCACCTATGTTTAACAATATTATCACTACAGACAGTTGAAAGCTGGCCAGACTGTTATACCATGCTGGTCTCTCCTCACCAAGGTCGCCTATGATTGGCTGGACGTACCGGTATGTCCTGGTTAATATTGATATGAGACATTCAGGACATACAGTGTCGTTACGGGACAGAATGTCTGAGGATGAAACACCTGGAACGTTCCACACACCAGGAACACAACAAATGACACCTAAACAGTAACGATTTCCATTCTTTCATTTTCAAGGACACCAACTTGTCCAAAAGATATCTTGAGATATTTTTTCAAATTCTGTCAAGATATAGAAAAGTGTCCATTCTTGATAAAATGTCCTACAGCGATTTGTTTTGAGCAAATTGACTGAATTTTGATTCACATACCGGTACTCAATACTGTTCATTAACTCCACAAACAGAAGTTTGTGATACTAATTCCTCTTTATAATGATTATCATTGTTGATCTGTGTAAGTGGGAATACATTCTTCAACATTGTGCCCATGTCAACATATGTTAGAAATACACTTCTAATTTACAACAGAATGCTCCAATTAGTGTAAAAATCCAAGACGATCAAATGCAATAATAATATTGTGCAATAAATATAAGCAACAGGACCCTTTCCATTATCCCAAGAAATCTCTGCTTAATGCAGATATGATTGTACCAATCCATCTATGTCATTAAAATGTGTTTTATGAATCACTATCAAATAGTCTATGAATCATATCAAAACAGCTTACTTCCAGAGTACAAACCATTCTGAATTGAGATTAGATATCAAACAAAATATTTCTCCCAAATAATTACTCTGTAATTACATGTACAACATGGAGAGACCTCTAAATGAGGCTCCCATCTCTACACATACCATATACTTACAGGTGTATCACAGTAACTCTTACTGCATGCCTATTTCAAACAAAGTGACAATACAAATGCATAAAATCTTCAACATGATAGGTAAATAGTGCCATTACTTTTTAGGAACATAAATCTGCTATCAAGATCAAAGGGTGCAGCCGAATACAGATATAACAAAGGCACACATTCTCTAACTTAGAGCAAATTTAAAATACTTGAGTTTGATGAACCTACACAGCAGATCTCACAAAATCCATCATTTACAATGAATACATAGTCAACAGTGTTGTTCTAGCAGTCCAGTGTTTGTTGTTGAAAGCCTGTCATGTTGAAATGTTTAGGTGTCACACAACACCAGCTAGTGTGTCACTGTATACCTTCTACCACCTTATCAGCATATGACCATGCTCGACCTAACCAAGACGGTAAACACAGGAGGAAGTTATTTACTTGTATTCTAGTAAAAGGTAAATGAGAAACAAGAAGAGGTGAGAATTGATGGATTTACTTCTTTATTATGAGGAACATGATGTATATTCCTACTCCTTCATACCGTGGAAGAAGTCCACTTCAGTAAAATTCTGCCCCCAAAATAATTGTTATTTATCACTGTTACATCTTGCTGATTTAAGATCTAAATAATTCCAAAATGGCAAGCCTTTGCATGTAATGGCAGATGAATATAAAACAAAATGTCTAACACACTGCAGCAGTTGTAGAGCCCACAACAAAACAGACAATACACGTTATACAGGTAACACTACCCAACACACCCTACCCAACACAGGCCCAGGTGTAATACAGGTAACACTACTCCCAAGGTAACACTCAACACAGACCCAGGTGTAATACAGGTAATACACATGCCCAGGTGTAATACAGGTAACACTACTCAATATAGACCCAGTTGTAAGTAGGTGTAAACAGGTAACACTACTCAACATAGACCCAGGTGTAATACAGGTAACACTACTCACTATAGAACCAGGTGTAATAACTACTCAGTAAGTAGGTGTAATCAAATAGGTAACACTACTCAACACAGGCCCAGGTGTAATACAGGTAACACTACTCAACACATGCCCAGGTGTAATACAGGTAACACTACTCAATATAGACCCAGGTGTAATACAGGTAACACTACTCAACACAGACCCAGGTGTAATACAGGTAACACTACTCAACACAGGCCCAGGTGTAATACACTACTACAACACTAGAGGCCCAGGTGTAATACAGGTAACACTACTCAACATAGACCCAGGTGTAATACAGGTAAAACTACTCAGGCCCAGGTGTAATACAGGTAACACTACTCAACACAGACCCAGGTGTAATACAGGTAACACTACTCAACACAGGCCCAGGTGTAATACAGGTAACACTACTCAACACGGGCCCAGGTGTAATACAGGTAACACTACTCAACATAGACCCAGGTGTAATACAGGTACAGGTAAAAGGTACTCACTATAGAGTAACCAGGTGTAATACAGGTAACACTACACAACACAGGACCCACTACCAGTAGGGATTAATAAAGGTAAACACTACTCAACATAGACCCAACAAATCACTATGACACTTAACTAAGTCATGTAATAAAGGTTTACTGAACAGGTGTAATACAGGTAACACTACACAATGGACCCAAAGTAGGGATTCTCACAAGTTTAAAATTCGACCTTAAAATCATTTTTACTGAACTATAAAAATGGAAAATAATTTTAAAAAGCCCAAATTTTGCACAGAAATATTGGCATTTTCAGTTGTGTAAATTATCTATTTAGAGAATGAATCAATTGCCTGTGTCTGGGACCATAAAATAGCAACAACCCCTTGTTACCTTGGGAACAATATAGATGATTAGAATCATCTTCTAATTCTTGGATTGTAATGCTGGGAAATAGGATTGTGAAAAAGCTTGGAAATGATTGTAAACATGCAGTATTGAATAAACATGTTACCCATGACGGTCAGGGTCAGAACCCGTCTTCAGCAACTGACGAGACGTGGAGGTCACACTCTCTGACTTGGTTGATGCATTTTACCTCAATTGTATTGATGGATGACCACAATGTTAATCACTGGATTGACTGGTTCAATCTTTTTTATCAGGATAAAGCTGGAATGTTGCTGAGAGTTGAGTTGAACAATATACGTGTATTTACAACTTCCTGTCGAGTCCTCCTTCATTACTGACGACTGAGCCGGGACATGTTCTGCCACCATGGAAGTTATGTTACACCTCCAAATACCTATATCAGACTTAGTGGAAAATCTCTCTTTTTATTATTCTCATTGTGCTGTAAGAATGGACTCTGTGAGCTGTGGTAGGCACAGGTTCAGGGTCACTTTTTACATCTCGCTAAAGAGAAGTGGACTGGTAAGTGCTACCTGGGTCCACCTGTGATTGTCACTTAATTCAATGTGAGGGAGCACCTGTCATCTATGTAAGGGCGCACCTGTCTTCTCTGTAAATATATCAAGCACCATGCATATTGTCAGGATACACAGACAAAGTCCCGAGGCCAGCCATCCAATACATTAAGGATAGGTTGCTGAGACCAACATTAACCCTAAAGACCCATAGGTTTCCACAAGCAGCATACATGCCATGGCCAACTTTTTTTAAATATTTGGCTTCATTAATATTACAGCAAAATTTGAATACACAAAATAAAAAGGAAAAAACCATTAGGAAACTAACTGATGGCAAAAGAAGTACTGTTAGAATACATATAAGGAGTTTTCTAGGATCAACACACAAACTATTTTCATTGTGCATATTACAGTGGAAAAATGAATGAGACAGAAGTATGAAAACAATAATCCTGGATACTGTTTGTTCAGACCATATTACCTTGACAACAATGGATACTGTTTGTTCAGACCATATTACCTTGGCAACAATGGATACGGCTTGTTCAGACCATATTACCTTGGCAACAATGGATACAGTTTATTCAAACCATATTACATTGATAATAGCCTGTAAGATTTCTGTCCCAGTTTTCACTATATTGTTCATATTACATTGGTAAATAGATTTCAATGCATTATGTATGTAAGCTCATAGTTTAACATTCCCCTTATACATACATAAAGGTGTTCATACACACAAGTGACTGCTATCAAAAATTGTCCTGGACAAGTCATCAAAAATACCCTCACTCCCCATACAGCAGTCTATATCTATGGCACAGGACAATTCATCACTGGAGTAAAACATGAGGACGGCCATGGGAAGCAACTCATGACAAGCACATCTCAGTCTGATCTTGTATGTAACCTTAGATTTTTAAAGATGCAAAATATATTCACTTGTACAAGCACAGACATTTATGTAATGTGTTCTTTTAGCATACAAAAACAAATAATTTAACCCCAAAATGACCTGTTAGCAGCACTAGATCACCATTTGCCATGTTTTCAAGGGAGATAACTCCAAGCATGTGGTTTCCAAGCAGTTAATGTTGTGTGGTAAAGGCTGTGAAGACTTCATTCCACTGTTGTGTACAGCGTATGAATGTCGTCCTGCGGCTCAGCTCCTTCAGCTTGGAGGCCCCAACGTATGTGCAGGTGGATCTGATGCCCCCCAAGATGTCCTGAATTGTAGCTTCCACCTCTCCTCGGTACTCTATCTCAACAGTCTTTCCTTCTGATGCCCTGGAATAGTAAGGACTTCTTTAAGAATCCTCTGAAAACCTTAGTAAGCACTTGTTGTTAGAATTGCCATTCGTATGATTGATTTTCACTCTTGAAGAAAAATGTGTTCACACATACCAGCTGACTGTCATTACAAATACCAGGAAGGCCACATTCAGAATCCTACCTGTATTCAGCGACACCTCCAGAATGTTTCTTCATGGCAGTAGCCGAGCTCATTCCATAGAACAGTTTAACCTTCTTGCCATTTTTCTCGATCATTTCCCCTCCTGACTCATTGTGTCCGGCCAGCATGCCACCCAGCATCACGTAGTCCGCCCCTGCACCAAATGCCTTCGCCACATCACCAGGACATGTGCACCCTCCATCCTATGGTGAGTGAGTGAGTGAGTGAGCGAGATACCAATACATAATATTTCTGTATTCAACAATGTTTTTACCTCTGATCTGTAAAACGTATAATAAAGACTTCAATTAAGCTTATTGGATGTACCTACGCCATACTAGTCAAATTTATTCTAACAAAATGTCTGTCAATGCCATCCTTAACACTAGATACATTATCAATCAATTCATGTCACAGAGGGCTTCTAATCTTCCAACTGTCTCAGACATAGTTTCCTAGTTTGTTTCAAGTATGAAAATGAAACATTGACTGTATATAGCAAAACTCTCTTAATTCAGACAGTACCATTTCTATTAGAATTGTCCAGATTAACAAGTGTCCAAATTAACATATTGTGACTACATAGAAAGTTACTTCAGCCAACAGACATAAAGTAATAGCCAGGTTTTTTCACTTTTTTCTCGACTAATGATGGTTTCTCCTTGAAAAAGGAAGACATAAAACCTCAATGTACTTAATCCAGTATAATAAAACAAAAACAAATCCTGAGATGAGCGTCCAAGAGTGTTGAGACTCACAGATATTATATGTCCACCCAGGCCATGGGCTGCGTCCGCACATTCCATGACGGCACTGAGCTGTGGGTAGCCGACCCCAGTCTTCTTCCTGGTGGTGCACACAGAGCCAGGGCCGATCCCCACCTTGATGATGTCCGCCCCTGACAAGATCAGCTCCTCCACCATCTCACCTGTCACCACGTTACCTGCCTGGAACAACATGACTCACATTACCTGCCTGTAACATCACAGACTCACACTACCTGCCTGAACAACATGACTCACATTACCTGCCTGTAACATCATGACTCACATTACCTGCCTGCAACATCACAGACTCACACTACCTGCGTGAACAACATGACTCACATTACCTGCCTGCAACATCACACTCACATTACCTGCCTGCAACATCATACTCACATCACCTGCCTGCAACATCATACTCACATCACCTGCTTGCAACATCATGACTCACATTACCTGCCTGCAACATCACACTCACATTACCTGCCTGCAACATCACAGACTCACATTACCTGCCTGTAACATCACAGACTCACATTACCTGCCTGTAACATCATGACTCACATTACCTGCCTGCAACATCACAGACTCACATCACCTGTGTGCAACATCATACTCACATTACCTGCCTGCAACATGACTCACATCATCTGCTTGCAACATCATACTAACATTACCTGCCTGTAACATCATGACTCACATTACCTGCCTGTAACATCTGCTTGCTGTAACATCATGACTCACATTACCTGCCTGTAACATCATGACTCACATTACCTGCCTGTAACATCACAGACTCACATTACCTGCCTGTAACATCACTCACGACTCACATTACCTGCCTGTAACATCATGACTCACATTACCTGCCTGCACATCATATCACATTACTGCACACTCACCTGCTTGCAACATCATACTCACATTACCTGCCTGCAACATCACAGACTCACACCACCTGCCTGTAACATCACAGACTCACATCACCTGCATGCAACATGACTCACATTACCTGCCTGCAACATCACAGACTCACGTTACCTGCCTGTAACATCACAGACTCACATTACTGCCTGCAACATCATGACTCACATTACCTGCCTGTAACAGCATGACTCACATCACCTGCGTGCAACATCAGACTCACATTGCCAGCCTGCAAAATGACTCACATCATCTGCTTGCAACATGACTCACATCATCTGCTTGCAACAACATGACTCACATTACCTGTCTGCAACATCATGACTCACATTACCTGCCTGCAACAACATGACTCACATCATCTGCTTGCAACAACATGACTCACATCACCTGCACGCAACATGACTCACATCACCTGCATGCAACATCACAGACTCACATTACTGCCTGCAACATGACTCACATTACCTGCCTGTAACATCACAGACTCACATCACCTGCATGCAACATGACTCACATTACCTGCCTGCAACATCACAGACTCACGTTACCTGCCTGTAACATCACTGACTCACATTACTGCCTGCAACATCATGACTCACATTACCTGCCTGCAACATCACAGACTCACATCACCTGCATGCAACATCATACTCACATTACCTGCGTGCAAAATGACTCACATCATCTGCTTGCAACATCATGACTCACGTTACCTGCCTGCAACATCACAGACTCCCACCACCTGAATGCAACATGACTCACATTACCTGCCTGCAACATCACAGACTCACGTTACCTGCCTGTAACATCACAGACTCACATTACCTGCGTGCAACATCATGACTCACATTACTGCCTGCAACATCTCACATCACCTGGATGTAACATCATGACTCACATTACTGTCTGTAACATCATGACTCACATCACCTGCGTGCAACATCACAGACTCACATCACCTGCCTGTAAGATCACAAACTCACATTTCCTGCCTGCAACATCACAGACTCACATTACCTGCCTGCAACATCACAGACTCATGTTATCTGCCTGATATATTAATCAGTATGTCAGTCTGTTAATCTCTCATCAAACACCCAAAGCCTACCTACATAAACAACTTCCCAGAGCTCAGTCATATGGCCACAAACAGTTACAAAGTATATCATTCAGACTGTAGAGATAAGAGAGGTAATGTAAGGGAGTTAACTCTCAGTGCACTAATACATGCCAAGCCAACCTGCATTACGTACATTGGTGCCAACTGCTTGGTGAAAGTTCTCACCCATGTTACCCACTCAAATGAATGAAAAAAACCCAGCCTCCCTCCTTAAAACGACCAGTTTACAATGGAAACTTGGAATAGTTCACAACCTCTTACCATGATCGTCTTTTTGGGGAACTTCTTTCGGACATCCCTGACAAACTGCACGAAGTGCTCTGAGTAACCGTTAGCAACATCAAGACAGATGAACTTGATCTGTGGCGCCAACTCCAGAATGTCACTCAGCTTCTGCATGTCCCCTTCTGCTATGCCGGCGCTGACGGCAATATGCTGCAGACAACCACGTTAGCCGACTTCACATTGCATGCACATATCAAATATTTGTCACGAAAATAGCATTACTTTCATAAACCTATACCTTTCAAAGTAACACAAACATCTCAATCAGAATAATACTTGATACTTAAGTAGGGGTGACTATTGAGGGGGTAACAACTATTGCGATAACGATAGTCTATTGCGAATAACTATTGCAATAGTTTTTGTCTCCTTGAATTGTCTCATTTGAAGTCGTTTCCCAAATAAATGCATAGTTTATATGAAATAAAAACAAGCTTAAGTAGTTTCAGTCTGTTTTAATAACTGACAAGAAACTTGAAAGCCAGATCAAGTTTGTTTAAGAGGTAACAGAGGCGGATAACTCTAAATCAAAGTGAACGAATCTGGTACCTCCTGTATTTTGCACTGCGCATTTATCAATTGAATTCAATTACTAAACTATCGATAGTTACACATAATATCGATGCATCGATAGATTTTTGTTCCTACCATCGATTAATTGCTATCGGAGGCTCAACAATTGCAATCCATCGACAGTTTGATGCATCGTTACAGCCCTACTTAATAGTCAAACAAGAAATACCCATTTTTGTCATGACAGCGATTGAGAACGTTATGCAATGAACCAAAGACGTCCTTGGTTGAACTGAAGCTCACTGACCTCAAGAGTTTCAGCATTGTTGTCCACAAACTCCTTCCACGCTGCTAGTGAGTAGTGTTTGTGGATGGTTGTGAACATCAGGTGCTGAAATACAACAATGCAGTCTTAAACTAGGTAATTTGTTGACTTATCTAGGATCGAGAGTTATCCCGTTTGAGTATTTCCACACATTATGATTCCAGCCGAGTCTTGACAGTCATTCAGTAATCAATATTCCGTTGGACAACTCAGCATGTAGATATTTATAAAAATACATCTGAATTTTCAATGACTAAGGGACATAATAAGGAGATTAGACATGTAGACAAGATGGCAATCAGTCCCCAACAACTACTCCACCATCTTCCAGCCTTTGGTGCGGATTTACATTCCAATTTCTATGTTTTAGGTTAAAATGACCCGTCATTTTTAAGTGAATTACTGAACGGTTCTGGTATTACCTTTGCAAATGCTTTGGCCATCTCGAAGGTACCAACTGTGTCCATGTTGGCAGCCATGACGGGAATACCTGTGTAGGTGAGGTTGGAGTTGCGGAAGATGAATGACCGAGTGAGGTCAACCTGTAACCATGGTAACACAACAACATCAGTGAGTGATCAAGTGGTTGATAGTGCAAGAACCATACTATGACAGTATATGAAAGCCAGTTACAGCTGTAGGCTGTTTACCCAACACACTCTGGTGATCTATCTAGAACTGTCCTGGCCTGCAGTAAATGCTATCTTAAATTCCAAAATCAGAATTAAGAATTTGACAATTCAACATGTTCATGTCAATACATATGACAGGAATGTCGAGATTCATCAATAATTCAATGCACGGATCAGATGATACAATATGTCATACACATGTACCTGCATCGATTCATAATATTTCACTCATGGAACATTGAAAACAGCAATAAACTGACTTTGTTGGTAAAATGGGTCCTACCTGCATTTTAATAAGCAATTCTATTGTAAATAGTACAGCATCATAGTTTTGAGATTTAAATTCTGTTTTATTTAGTTCTCAAGATATCTGAAATAAAGTATTTATTGAAAGGTCATTTTTATTATCAAATATAAGGTGGCCAGAAATTCAGGATTATTTTGAAACCTTTAAAAGTTTTCATTCCCCATGACATAACAAAAATCATGCCACATTGCTAACAATAGACATGATGAAGCCTTATCGGAGAAAAATGGTATCTTCACATTCCTGAGATATCACTATCAATAATATCTAAGCTAATGTACTTCACTGATAACAGGACTACTAAACAGCTAGAGCTTTCCATGCTTCGCTTTATTTTACTGCACTGAATGCAGTCCCAAAATGCAATGAAAAAATAGTTCTGAATCTAACATGTTAAATATACAACACAATTTACAACAAAATATTTACTTATTCCCCGGATTTCCTGACAGGGGGACTTGGTTCAGAATAGTGTACACATACATATGGGGACAGGAAAGCTGGGGAGGGGGGGAGGTGGATGGGGAGAGGGAGCACAATGGCTGATGAGCATCATTATTGATCAGAAAACCTAGTGCCAAACTGGTGCAAGTCAATCATCAAGATCTGTTAAATAAAACAATAAAAAGATGTCCTTGTGTGTTGGTTATGCTTTCAATGTACAATGAAGTAACACATTTAAACCTATGTACGGTGAAATGTTCATTCACCCCCATGACACAGTCAGACAATGACCTCATGAGTGGAACCAACCTCCATGGCCTTCTCAAATGTAATTTATCTAATAATTCTAATGAGAGTGGGTTAATCCCCCCGGTTATGTTTGACAATACTTTGAACAGTGTTTGCAGATATAACATATGCTATATTTGGGATTACACTCTCCCAGTATAGTACTGATTCTAGTACTTTTGTTCGGTTGAGTCCCACCAGGGATTCGAACCCACATCCTCAGAGTCTGTTCATAACATGCACAATGTAGTGTTCACACAACAGGTGACGACTCAAATTAGCAACTGACATTATAACTCAAATTTGAACAAATGGAGAAAAAACATATTATCATGATTACTGAATTGTGTAACCACAGTAACTGAATTAGTGAATAACAGTTGAAACATAATCCTGGTCACAAATGTTTTGTATAATGAATTTCTTTGGCAATAAATGACTTAGCATGGCAGTGTAATGGATATACAACTCCATTATGACTGTTACAGAGTGATTGTGTGGGCATGGTGAGTGTGGGCATGTTGTGAGTGTGGGCGTGGTGAGCATGGACATGGTGAGTGTGGGCATGGTGAGTGTAGACATGGTGAGTGTGGGCGTGGTGTGAGTGTGGGCATGGTGAGCAGGGGCATGGTGAGCGTGGGCATGGTGAGCGTGGGCATGGTGAGTGTGGGCTTGGTGAGTGTGGGCATGGTGAATGTGGGCATGTGTGAGTGTGGGCATGGTGTGAGTGTAGACATGGTGAGTGTGGGCATGGTGAGTGTGTGAGTGTGGGCATGGTGAGTGTGGGCATGGACATGGTGAGTGGGCTTGGTGAGTGTGGTCATGGTGATTGGGCATGGTGAGTGTGGACATGGTGAGTGTGGGCATGGTGAGTGTGGGCTGGTGTGAGTGTTGGCATGGTGAGCATGGGCATGGTGAGTGTGGGCATGGTGAGTGTGGACATGGTGAGTGTGGGCATGGTGAGTGTGGTCATGGTGAGTGTGGGCATGGTGTGTGTGGGCATGGTGATTGTGGGCATGGTGAGTGTAGACATGGTGAGTGTAGACATGGTGAGTGTGGGCATGGTGAGTGTGGGCGTGGTGTGAGTGTGGGCATGGTGAGTGGGCATGGTGAGTGTGGGCATGGTGAGTGTGGGCATGGTGAGTGTGGGCATGGTGAGTGTAGACATGGTGAGTGTGGACATGGTGAGTGTGGGCATGGTGAGTGTGGGCGTGGTGTGAGTGTTGGCATGGTGAGCATGGGCATGGTGAGTGTGGACATGGTGAGTGTGGGCATGGTGTGTGTGGTCATGGTGAGTGTGGGCATGGTGTGTGTGGTCATGGTGAGTGTGGTCATGGTGAGTGGGCATGGTGAGTGTGGGCATGGTGAGTGTGGGCATGGTGAGTGTGGGCATGGTGAGTGTGGGCATGGTGAGTGTGGGCATGGTGAGTGTGGGCATGGTGAGTGTGGGCATGGTGAGTGTGGACATGGTGAGTGTGGGCATGGTGAGTGGGCGCGGTGAGTGAGGACATGGTGAGTGTGGGCATGGTGAGTGTGGGCATGCACATTCAGTAAAACCATATTGCTTATCATGTAGTTCACATCAAAAGGGAAAAAACCCTAAGATATTCACATTTTAATCTAAGGCACATATCAATACTGGTTAACTTTAGTTTTATTGCTCTTTCAGCATTGTTCATTGAGTTTCGAGCCGTGAACGTCCGGGTTAGAATATTGATCTTCAGTAACCCATGCTGGTTGTAGGGGGCGAGTAATGGGATCGGGTGGTCAGGTTCGCCTACTTGGTTGACTCATGTCATCAGTTCCCAATTGCGCAGATCAATGCTCAACCTGCTGATCACGGGATTGTCTGGTCCACACTCGAGTATTTACAGACCGCGGCCATATAGCTGGAATATTGCCGAGTGCAGCGTAAAACTAAACTCAATTACTCACTCATTGAGTTTCACTTCACTTGACCTCCATTCCGTAGAATGCAGATAACCTAGTTCAGTAGTGTTGTAACAGTTACTAACACCCTGGCACTGAGCTCACCAAGCTTGCCTACAGAGACATCTTAGTGTTTGGAGACCCCTCACCTGTCTCAGCACGGACCCCTATTATAACAATGAAAACATGCATTAACAAATACTCTGTGAGTGAGTAATATCTCCGTCCAAGTAGCCAAGATTATACAGTACAACCAGAAATTATTGAGAATTTAAAGATTGTAATTTTTTTTATGTTTTTCACTCATTACTCACGTATTAAATGTGAATATTAGCAGAACATAACTCCAGATTAAAAGACAGGTGAACAGTTAGTATTTTGTCAAGTCACCATGGGCAGCAATGCAGGCTTCAATGCGCGGAGCATACTACTGATCAAAGAAGTTAGAAAGTCGTGGTACATGCTGTCCCAATATCGGACCACCTATTCTTTCATTTCAGCAATTTTTGTCAGATATTTCTTATTGACACTTTCCTTCATAAGTCCCCAAACATTTTCTATTGGATTTAGGTCAGGGCTATAGCTTGGCCAATCTAATAATGTCATATTTTGGTCCGAAACAAGGCCTGTGAATGCTTTGAACGATGTTTTGGGTCGTTATCCTGCTGGAAAAAACGAAAATGTCCATAGAACATGTGAGCAGATGGAAGTAAATGTCCCTCGTGAATATCTGTGTACCGCTCACTGTTCATATTCCCTTCAAATACACAGAGGGGCGTTGCCCCTAACACAGATATGCCACCCAACACGTTAAATTTCAGACTGTACTTTGGGTGCTGATACAAAGGTTTTTCAGTTTGTTTGGTCCAGAATTTCAGTGTACTAGGAAACAGCCACACAGAACTTTCATCTGAGAAAATCACATTGTCCCAGTTAAAATTTCTATGCTGTAAGCTCCTTTTGTTCAGGTTTCATGATAGGTGATATGTCCTTGTTATAATACTCTAAAAATCAACTTCCCCTTCTCTAAATCATCAATACTGAGGATCACTGAAAATGTCGTCTGCTAGCAAGTAAACAAAGGAGGATAACCCATCACAAACTAATGAAAAAGGATTAACGGAGTCGTCTCTCTTGAATGAAACCAAGCACTTGATAGCTGGTCAAGGTTGTTTATACTAGAAATCCAATTAAACATATTCCTAAAATTCTGAATAATTTCTGGTCATACTATATCATTATAGTGCACAGATTATTCTTTAAACAAACAATGGACTAACAAATTTAAACCCACATTATTACTGCATAGTGTTCAATCACTTCCGTAACTGGTCTGCAAGGACCCAAAATTTATTTCCACAACTGCCTGATGATGATTTGTGAATGGGTCACACCATACCTTTTATTCTTAAAGATAATCATGATAATATCTGTTGTATATCCCTAATAAGCTATAAAACAGAACACAGATATATCTGGATGTTTTGAATTCAAATTAATATATTATCATCTTTTATGTAATTAGAAAGAAGGTAAGTAAAATAAGTGCATCTTGGGGAGGTAAACACATTGTTACTTTGGCTGGTTTGATCAACAAAACAACACAATCTGTTCAGAACTGTTTGTATCTTTAATCACTCATTGTGTTAATACAGCTTCACATTTTTCAAATTAGGAACATGACACCAACATACATTGCCTAATTTACATTAATTAATGTAACATATGGTGCACATGGCCTGACTGTATGTCATCACAGCTAGAGGTTTGTCAGTAATAAGTCTACAAAAGTAAATATAGATCAGGTTAAACCAGATGTCTGTACAATATATTAGTGTGGGACTTTATCACTACTCCACAGCTTGAATTTAGTAAAATTCTTTCATTCTTGAAAGATTTGCTAATGTAAGTCCAAACATAAACACTGGGATTTATTGAAAATGAAGTAAAGAGATAGATTCAATAAAGTAGACTCAAAATAGTTTTGCACAGAATGATACATTAATAGTAAATACAAACTGATTTCCGCTACAATGATATCCAATTTCCAAATTCATGATATCATCGTCAACAGGTACCGTGTCTATGACTAACACAGAAACCTCCAGCTGTGAGGACACAGTTGAGACCAAGTGCACCACATTACTGGTCATGTTAATTAATGTCAAATAGTATATGAAATAATGAATGTTGGGTTAATGTTCCAAACTGAAAAATGTAAAGCCGATTTCGTACAAGGAAATATTCATATTAATAACTCTGTGCAGGAAGACAGAAGCACCTCAGATAGCTGGGCCACCTGTTCCTCAAAGCAAGACAGTGATACATTAAGAACTTATATACTGTGCTACTTGAAAACTACTACAATACTTCTACAGATTTGGAACAGCTTGTAAGAAATTGTGCTTTATGATGTCAATAAACCTTTACAGCTGTTCTACTGTTAATCTAGCTTAGAACGCAAATCTGCCAGTAGTATAAACGTTTGCGCACACACACGACTGCTGGTTTCTAATACTGATCTGATCTCATTAATGATGCAAAATAATGTGTTGTACCCTCAATATTATTTACAGAAAGTGTGCACATATATTTCAGACAGAAAACAAATAGTCAGTGTATTGTACAATTCTGTAGTATAAAAGATTTAACTTCGGTGCAGTGCTATCACCTACTGTGACGTAATATCCCAATACAATACTCAGACTTATATTGGGCTCAACCTACGCCACATCACTAATCGTTTCCACGAAAACAAGAGTTTTTGCTTGTTCCGTCATTGTGTCATGGTAGAATGGATACCAACCTGCTTTTAATGTAGAGCCAGGAGAATGTGAATTTGATACGTTTGATACAACTACAATATTGAATCAAATGACTAAAAATATAACATTTTATCAAGTCTTTCTTATTTATGTTTTTCAGTCTTATATTTAATGCATAAGATTAAGAAACATGGCAGACAAAAACGATATTGTTCCTCTGCCTACCTTTATAAAATTTGTTTCACCACAGAGTATTCAAGGCTAGGGTAGTTAATTCAGTTATGTGGCAGGCAGCAAATTAAGAATAAAACAAAAATCAGAGTCAGTGAAGGAATCCGGAGAAGTTTCAACTTGCATGCCTGAATCTCAACGACACAACACATGTACCGATATAATTAGCCTCGCATGGGTACTTACATCGGCACGGCTCCGGATTGTGCTGCGCTTTGGTCGTACAAGGACATCCTTGAAATCTAACTTGATATCGTTGTCAATTCTAGGCATTTCGGAAATCGCTTGTACTGCTACTTGATAATCTCTACGGTCACTGACAAAGTCACTTGTTAGAGCGGGATCTCGCGTGGTCTATATATATATTCTTCCCCTGCGGTTTATTATATTACGGCCATCTTATTGAACTCCTAACATTGTTTTCCTACTGTAATCCGATACCACATACACTGTCTGGAGCACTGATGGTACTCCCCACAGCGCAAGCCCCCTCACAGCGCTAGCCCTGTGGCGGAGCTCTCATTACTTTCGTGGTAACATAGCGAACCCCTTTGAGTATGTCGCTGCCGTCTTGCGTTGGGGTGGAGTTTAAGTTCACGACTTCACCTTACTGGGAATGGTGTGGGATTTCAATTTCAAAGGCAGACGACTTGCATGTCAGATTACACAACGATATAATAGCTCCTAATATCTAAACGGGATCTGTATTTTGGACGTCTTCAAACAGATATTTTGGTGGAGGTAGTGATAATGCCATATCTACCAGACTTTATTCAAAGGTGAAATTCATGTTTTGTTCTCTATAAATTACAAACGTGGTCCCGTATTTCATAATCGTTCTTACAGAGTCCACTCAGTGGTGTTTGTGTTTATTATAATCCGTGAAAATACGAGTGGATATCCGAAGGATGTGAGCTTGTGTAAATTTAGGTGGTTGCTTTTCATACAGGACACGCTACTTGCCCTGTAGTACTGACTGACTGACTGAGTTTAGTTTTACGCCGCTTTTAGCAATATTCCAGCAATATCACGGCGGGAGACACCAGAAATGGGCTTAACACATTGTGCCCATTTGGGGAATCGAACCCAGGTCTTCGACGTGACGAGCCAACGCTTTGACCATTAGGCTACCCCACCGCCCCTGCCCTGTAGCAACAACACAGAGGAAGAAAAGGTTGACGCCATTCAAACAATAAGTGCATAACACTCGATGAAGCACAGACTTCTTGCATGAAGACCTCAGACAGTGTATTCTGTAAACATGCCCCCAAAACAGACTATGTTTAGTTGAATGAATTACGCATGAAATAATGTCTCTTATGTGGACAATAGAAACAATCTATAATAAACATCCCAAATATATCGTGTGTTATGCTAGCCGAGAGCCAAGATATATGACTGTAAATGACCGCATCGCGGCTCTCGGCTAGTGTTATTGATATCAAGGGTTAAGAATGATGATACTTTTAATGGTAAGAGTTCCTTACGTACCCTCCACAAATTTTTTACTATAAATGATAGACTAAACTATGTGTATGCTCATCACAAAAATAGGTGGGGTTAGTAAGGAACTCTCCCTTCTTTATTGTAAACGGTGACATTTCGACATAGATTCTAATGTCGTTGTCATCAATTGCTTGACAAAGACATTAGAATCTATGTTGAAACGTCACCATTTACAATAAAGAAGTTGTACATCCATCAAAATTAGCATCATTTTTCATCACCCTAACTTCTAAAATGCCCATCAACTTCATCAAGAAAAAACAATCAAGGGTTTTTGCTTAATGGACTCCCAGAATACTACTGATTGGAATTTGGGCATTAATTACCACTGAGAACAATAATGAATGGAGAATATTGTGCTAATGTAACGGAAATATCCATGGTAGAGAAGCATCAAGGCTAACTTCAATATAGCATTCTCCATCTGGACAGTGCTCCACATCACACTTGTCATGTGGCCATGGCCGCTGCACGCTGGACTTTACCCTATTCACCAGATCTGGTGTCTTGCTGGGCGGTTGGGTAGCCTAGTGGTTAAAGTGTTCGCTTATCATGCCAAAAACCTGGGTTCGATTCCCCACATGGGTACAATGTGTGAAGTCCATTTCTGGACCCCATCATGATGTTGCTGGAATATAACTAAAAGTAAAACTAAACTCACTCACTCCCCTCTAGTTGAAAAGTTTATCTAAAGTAAATAATAAGAGACAAAAAGCTGATTTCTTATCATTGTATTCTTGATGAAAACAGTTTATATGTGTTGCACATTCTGGTCATAATCAACATGTGACTATTTACAACATGTCTGTACACATGGTACAGGTCATGTGGTCAGTGATAGTCGAGCACTGCGTAAACATACATGGTGGTAAAATAATATCAAATCACATGCCACTTCTCAAATCTATGTAACATTCAGGTACATGACACATTGTTTAATATTTGTCCATGTGGTCACAGATTTCAAGAGACGTACATCCTATCACTGTCAAAGGTACTCTAATGAACTGATGCAAGGATGGAATGTGACATCCTTAGTCTTTCAGCCTCTGAGGTGCAAGTCTTCTACATTCCAAACCAATGAAAAATAAAACATATTAAAGTTTCCAAGGAAGGGTAAATGACCCATGGTTAGTCACATGACATATTGCTTAATAATTTTGTACAAAAATGTCATCCATCATATTTATGATGTGGATGTGAATAATACGGACAATGAGTTTGAAGGCCGGTGTACAGCAGGTGCCCTTGCCTACTACACACATTCCACATACTAGCCCTGACAGTAACTTTGCTTGTTTTTCCACATTTGACTTTATTTCCTAGAATATGGACTTTGTGATGTCAGCTGGTCTGTAGAAGGATAGAGAATATTAAATAGTTACATCTGAGTTTGATTTTTGTTCATCCACATGTTAGCCAATATAATTTTTGGTGAACCATGTGAACCTGTTCCTGTTGGGTCTTGCAGTTTCCCATGAAGCATACACAGATGTGTGGTGAACTTGTAAATAGACAGAATATACACTGTGCGCATTGCTCCTTGTCAGCTATTTATCTGTACCCTGTTTCATGCAATCTTTTGATTTTTGGATCCATCACTGGAAATGTTGAGTACAACCAAACAACTAATACAACATGATACAAACAAGTGTTAATGCCCTTATCAACAATAAACACCATCTTTGGTCACGTTGAACAAAGTACATTTTATTACAGTGCTTTTTATCGTACACCAATAGACAATCTTAACCTGTTCAAAGAGTTCCAAGTCCAATCAGTTTTGGAAATGTGTGTGAAAAGGCAGCAATCCCTGAGATCAACTATTGAAAATTTACAAAAACAATAGGAACTTTCCAGACAAAGATGGAATTCATGCTAAAATGTCTTTGAACAGCAGATTGTTTCCATGACTACTCAAAGAAAATACTCTGCTGATAACTATCAGTGATGGACAGTCTATCAACTTTAATAGAAGCATACAAAATTAAAAGCAGTATTACTACAAATACTTAAGCAGGACAGCCAACAACATTGCATGAACAGGCAACATACAGGAAAGATCTTATGTGTGAAATTCACTAGTTTCTCATGACCAAGCTATTTACTGAAGACACTGAACAGAAGTTAACATATTCAGACACTGTCAAACAATCCAAACGTTATTTTACGTAGAGGCCATCCAAAGCTACCAAAATAAGCCAGGCACTGGTTAAAGAGATTATATCCTCACATTTGATGACTGGGCAATAATAAGTTATATATGCTGGTTACAGTATTGACCTAAAATGTGAGTCATAATCACAGCATGATGAAATCAAAATATAAAAATCTTCATAGTAAATAATAATGGCAATTTATAATGCACCAATCCACATGCTGAAGGAAGCTCAAAGCAAACATTATTACCCCGATCAGTGGAGATTTTCTCTCTCTACTATCTCATCTCACTTGGTACCCATTTACTGCTGGGTGAGGGGCTGTGGGGTATCTAATTGTTCAGCGTCCACTTGCTGAAAACCTGGGTTTGATTCCCCACATTTGTACAATGTGTGATGCCCATTTCTGGTGTCCCCTGCAGTCATATCGCTAAGAGTGGCGTTAAAACCATACTAACTCACTCACTACTGTTGGGTAAACAGAGGCATCATCCTCATCCCTTCACTCTCTGTGATGTGTCTTAACCTCATCTAAACTGTGAGCTGTACCACTCGGGGACCACTTAGCACATCAATCGTTAAAGGAAGACTACACAAATAACAGTCCCGCCAGATTTTATTTAGATCCTCTTTCTTGGTCTATTGGTTCCTATTAATATAAATTATATCTATTAATCATGTACTGATCACTTTCACTGTTAATTACACTGAGATATCTGCACACTGGTGTAATTACAAAGCTTGCAACAACACAAAGAATGGCCTTAATTGATGAAAGTCCCCCTTTAAGGGTTCTATATCTCCGTTTCATGAAGCAGTTTAAGTCCTCCTTTAAGGGCTCTATAGCTTTGTTTCATGAAGCAGTTTAAGTTCTCCTTTAAGGGCTCTCTAGCTGTTTCATGAAATAGTTTTAGTCTCCCTTTAAGGCTCTCTAGCTGTTTCATGAAGCGTGGTAGTCCCCTTTTAAAGGCACTATATCTCTGTTTCATGAAGCAGTTTTAGTTCCCCTTTAAGGGTTCTATAGCTTTGTTTCATGAAATAGTTTTAGTTCCCCTTTAAGGGTTCTATAGCTTTGTTTCATGAAATAGTTTTAGTTCCCCCTTAAGGGTTCTATAGCTTTGTTTCATGAAATAGTTTTAGTTCCCCTTTAAGGGTTCTATAGCTTTGTTTCATGAAATAGTTTTAGTTCCCCCTTAAGGGTTCTATAGCTTTGTTTCATGAAATAGTTTTAGTTCCCCTTTAAGGGTTCTATAGCTTTGTTTCATGAAATAGTTTTAGTTCCCCCTTAAGGGTTCTATAGCTTGGTTTCATGAAATAGTTGTAGTCTAGCTCCGTGTATACTACTCAAAACAAGTTAGAGAAGACCCACACTAGGAAGGCTGTGTAGAAACATCCATCAGTAATGACTGATCCTTAAGTTGGATATACCACACAGTCATCAAGAAGTCATTTTGATAGACTGTTTAGACATTCGAGATCCGACATAAAAACTTATCTACAGACTTAACACGAGACACCACTCTATTAACTACACTCACACAAAACATTGCACAAAGCGTAAGCATTTCACAATAGGATATTAATAACTGTGTTGTGAAAACTCCACTGAGACTTCTGATTAAATCACAAACTATATGTTCTCCTTCCTCCGACACTGCAAGCAAGCACCTTGTGTAGCTGTTATCCCACTACATGTAGAGAACCTGACAATGTTTGCGGGCAAGGGTGGTTGGTGCCACCAAAACACACCCCAAGGCAGCAGCAGCTTGCACGTATCGCAGACATACACTGGTGGTTGTACAAGGTTGTGTTTCAGTGCTGTGTCCACTTGATGGATTTGAGATCAACACCCTCCTGAAACATCTCCCACAGAGGACTGAAATAACCAATATAAGTTGCATTAAGTCAAAAGGGGTCATGAAATTTGGACAACAATGACTGAATTGCAGCAGTCAGGAAAGACATGGGGAGACAACCATTGCCCTCTGGGAACCTACATGGTCCTGTTAGGACCTATACTACACTGGTACACCCACAGGGAGACAAGCAAGGTGCACTGGGACCTATACTACCTGGTACCCCCACAGGGAGACAAGCATGGTACACTGGGACCTATTCTACCTGGTACACCCACAGGGGGACAAGCATTGTACAATGGGACCTATTCTACCTGGTACACCCACAGGGAGACAAGCATGGTACACTGGGACCTATTCTACCTGGTACACCCACAGGGAGACAAACATGGTACAATGGGACCTATTCTACCTGGTACACCCACAGGGAGACAAACATGGCACAATGGGACCTATTCTGCTCTGGAATAACTAAAAGGACACAAGCATAGTATGAACTTCCTACCTGGAATCCCAAAAGAGAATGTATACATCAAAGGGTTTTACACCTGAGTCAAATCTTTACACCTTCCTGAATTCCCATGAATCTGCACATATGGTAGACAGCTTGAATCTCACCTCATCTCTCGGAGTCTCTTGACGTGTTGGATACAGCGATCAGCAGTGTAGTCGATCTCCTCCTCTGTAGTGAACCGGCCAATACCAAACCTGTAGCAGTTATTACAAAGAAACGCTTGATGATTTACTCTTGCAGCCATCATGAGACTGCTTGGTAGGCAAGGCAGGATTTATTGTTTATAACAGCTATATGGCAGCAGTCTTGACCAGACAATCCAGTGATTGACATCAAAAGCATCGATCTATATCAATTCAGGCTGACAAATATAATGTGTTCATTTCCAACATTAGCAATATTTAGGACACTTCTGTTATTCACATCGTTAGAGGATATTAATTAGGGAGAACAGATGTCACAGTACAAACACTATTTCCCTTTGACCCATGACCCTGCTGACCTGATAGACGAGTGGGCAAGATCCTCGTCAGCTCCTATAGCTCTCAGTACGTATGATGGCTCCAGGGATGCTGATGTACATGCACTGTTGAGAAAATAGAACCATATATAAAACTCCTGGAAGCAAAACGATATAAAACGAGTACAGTAAACAAAGATGATATGTGTGAAGTAAACAAGGACGATATGTATGAAGTAAACAAAGATGATACATGTGCAGTAAACAAGAATGAATCGAGTGGAGTAAACAAGGACGATGCGAGTGCAGTAAACAAGGATGAGATGAGTGCAGTAAACAAGGATGAGATGAGTGCAGTAAACAAGGATGATATGGGTGCAGTAAACAAGGACGATACAAGCATAGTAAACAAGGACGATGAGAGTGCAGTAAACAGGGACTGGGGTAAATATGAATTTAGGAGTAACAGTAAGTTATTAAGTATTGGTGCAGTTCTCATGTCTCACCTTCCCGAGGACAATGCCACATCTTTGAGTGCCATCAACAAACTCTCCCCTTCCACAAAGGCAAAGGACAGATTAACACAACCTGCAAATCAAAATGATGTTCATGTATTACCCTCCTGAATGAAGACATCAAGTAGACGAGAAACACAACAAGAATCGAGAGAATGTAGGTTACCTGGGTATGTTTGTTCTGGATCCCCATTCCTGATGACCTGCGGCACCTGAGCTGTGATCCGGTCTATCAGCCTCTGAGACAGCTTGTTGATCCTCTCGGTGTCATACTGTCAACAACACACAGAGAAACCCAAATGGTTTATTGGTATCACGACTGCTCTATGAATGAGATCACTCCACATCAGCCTCTCTCAATGAACTTTATATAAACAGATTGGTTCTGTTAGTACGACATGGTGACCAGTACCGACTACACATATGTTTTGAAGTCACTCATATTAAATTATTAAAGCACTTGAAATGTAGAAAGGAAGTCTTTGGGAAATGCACAGAAGAGGAAGGCCTCATTATGGTCTGCCCAGTAAGAGAGTATACCACACTCACTTCCATTTCTTTGTCTGCCACCTCACAAGCCGCCCCAAACCCAACCACGAGGGGGGTGGGGACAGTACCACTCCTCATCCCCCTCTCTTGCCCTCCCCCGCTCTGAGGGGCCTCCACACGCACTCTGGGGCGTCGACGCACATACAGGGCACCTACACCTGCAACATAAATGTGTGTGTACAATTTGGGAATATTAATTGAAATTTGCTTTTATGTGTACAATATTTCTATTATGACATTACAATTCCTTAACCATAAACAGTGCCTACATTCTCTGATCACAGTTCTCTCAGACATGTTTGGGGTACTGTTCCACCATCAAATCATCTTGGGAACATGTGACCCTTTAATCGATTTCACCAGCTAAAGTCATTAGGAATCTTACACCACTGGCAAATATTACCCCTTTCTGCATACTACCATGTTTCATTCACTGACCTTTGGGGCCATACACCTTGTGTCCGCTGATGGACATCAGATCGATCTTCATGTCGTTCACGTCCACCGGGATCTTCCCCACAGCCTGTGCTGCGTCTGTGTGGAAGAACACCTTCCTTGACCTGCAGAGGTCACCTGCAGCAGCACAAGGTCAAGGTCACAAACATTTCACATCATGACGAATGTTTCAGATTTGTGGGATTACTGAGAATTCGATGCCCTGAAATTTCCTTTGAAACAAACAGTGAGGTTTCTGAACATCAAATACACAATAAAATCCGAAAACACACAAAACAAGGTTTATCTGCATTGTAAAATGCAAAATGCATCAGTAACTTTTCAAACTCGCAGAGGTGTGAGACAGAAGTGACATCACTCTGGAATGCCACAACATCATGAAACAAATGGATACCTCAGTCGTCCATGACAACTGAACCTGGCTGTTAACTGGAATACAGAAAACCAACCCACCAACTTGATAAATTTGGTACAAATTTTGGCTATGGAATGTTACCAATCTAAGTATGAAAATACTCCTCAATAAACATCCATAACTTTGCGTGTTCAAATCACATTTATCAGACTGCACCCTTATTGAAATCAGTGTTACATGTAACCATTACAATAACTCAAGCTGTGATTATAAGGGGCATTTGTCAGGACCTTGCATTTACATACAGGCATTAATCTTGGATTCCATTTAGAATTAAATAATATTTTGTTCAAATGTGGGACTCTTTAAAGTTTAATTAATTATTTTACATTTTCAGGAGTATTATATAATTTCATCGTTATACAGGGATTTGATAGATAATGACGTACCAATCTCCTTGACCGGCTGACAGACGCCAATCTCGTTGTTGATGAACATGACGGACACCAAGACTGTATCTGGTCTGATGGACTCCTCCAACAACTGGGAAGACAGTAACACCATGGTCAGTCGTGTGTTCAACGCCCGTCAATACATGCTACGTTACATTGAAAAAAAACTGGTAAAGTTTCTTGTTTCTGGTCTTTTAACAAGGACAGTGGAGGTTGTGAGTGGAGATTGGATTATACAAATACAGTATATTTTTTAAATGTCCATCACATTTTCAGTACTTTCAAACAAGAAGATGTCTGGCAGCACTCAGTAGAGAACGGTACCTGCATGTTGACAATGCCGTTAGTCTGCACCGGGAGGTAAGTCACATCGAAGCCTTCTGCCTCCAAAGCCCGACAGGAATCTAACACACACTTGTGTTCCTGGAATACATTCATGCAATCAGAATCTTGTACATACACTGCTAAGTCTGACAGGAATCTAACACACACTTGTGTTCCTGGAATACATTTATGGTGTCAGAATCTTGTACTTACACTGCTAAGACATTATGTAAGGATGTACATACACTGCTATGTCATTATGTAAGGATGTACATACACTGCTATGTCATTATGTAAGGATGTACATACACTGCTATGTCATTATGTAAGGATGTACATACACTGCTATGTCATTATGTAAGGATGTACATACACTACTATGTCATTATGTAAGGATGTGGGTAAAAGATGGCCAGGTTAGTAGTGTTTAAATGCTGGGTGCAGCATGGGTTGTAACGTGTGTATAACGAGGTGTAATATATGTGTGTAATATGAGCTGTAACATGTGAAAATAATTTGAACTGTAGGTGACATGAACTGTAACAAATGTAATATGTACTGTACTGTCTGAATATAACATAATGTGTATCATGTGTTTGTAACCTGAGCTGTAACATGTGAGTGTAACTTGAGCTGTAACATGTGAGTGTAACTTGAGCTGTGGCATGGGTGTGCAACACAGGCTGTAACATGTGAGTGTAACTTGAGGTGAGGTGAGGTGAAATTGGGTTTAACGTCGTGCTTGAGAATATTTCGCTCATATGACGACGTGCATGTGTGTGTATGTGCAGCTGCTTGTACTAGCCCAGACTGAAGCTGGTTTTATAGTGCTAGCCCACTGAGATACCATGCCGCAGTGAAGCAGGAATACCCCACTCAGACACATTATACTGACTCCGAGCCGACCAGTCCTTGTTGTACCCATTAATGTCAGGCGCTGGGGATCAACAAGTACCATATTTTAACGTCTTTTGGTATGACGTGGTCAGGGATCGAACCCGCGACCTTCCGCTCTCCGGGCGGACGCTCTAACCACTACACCACGGAGGCGGTTAATGTGTATCATGTGTTTGTAACCTGAGCTGTAATGTGTGTGTAACTTGAGCTGTGGCATGGGTGTGCCACATAGGCTGTAACATGTGAGTGTAACATGAGCTGTAACATGTGAGTGTAACTTGATCTGTGGCATGGGGATGCCACATAGGTTCTACTATGTGTGTAACATACGCTGTAGCTAAGTGTGCAACTTGAGCTGTAACATGTGTAACATGGGGTGTGGCATGAGCTGTAGCATCTGTGTGTATCATAGGATCTAGTATGTGTGTAACATAGGCTGTAGTACTGAATAAGAATAGAACAATAAAATATTGGATACTGACGGTTTGGGTTGTGATCACATGCTTTTTCTTATCCTTGTAGAATCTGGCCACCCCTTTCACTGCAATGTTGTTAGATTCAGTGGCTCCACTTGTGAAGATTATCTCCCTTGGATCAGCACCGATGACTGATGCCACTTGCTGTAGAAACAAAATGAAAAGAGCTTCAGCAGACTTTACAGGTGCAAATTCAGTTCTGCAATGTTAATGTACAGTAACACCACAAAATAAATAGCGTTTAGTAAACCAGTGCATACGTTTGTAAAGGTAGAAACTGCAGGTTCTGAAGATGAAAGTTGGGATATACTGGGAAACACTGACACAGCACTGACAAGGTGAATTACCTTTCTTGACTTCTCCATCGCAGCCTCACTCTCCCAGCCATATGCATGTGTGCGGGAGTGGGGGTTGCCGTACAAGCTCACCATATAAGGAAGCATTGCGTCCAACACACGGGGATCCTGCAATTCGGGAGCAAAAGTAACAATAACAAATACTGAATTCTCAAAATATTCATTTATCGGCCAAGCAAACACAACAGCAGATTGAGAGATATGTCCCTTGGTGCTCAGCCAGAATCTGCTGTCATAGGCGTGAAATCTTTTCAAATGTACTTCCACATGCTCATAACTTTCATAAACTTCCATCAGGTATTTCATTCACTTGCATTAAAGATTTCATACACTTGTGCCTCATGGATTTCTCCACAGTGAGCTGATCTTACTGAAATACTGTTCAACATGGAATAAAACCTGAACCCCACGCCACACACACACACATAAAATACCATTGGTGTTGTTGCCTGGGCATCCAGATAAAGGGGACGCTGGTCAGCTGATGGCATGTCTTTCCGAAAACCTTCCTGTTTCTCCTCTTTCTTTAATGCTGAAAAAAATTCAATGATCAAGATTATTTCATTTTCAAACATGTCAACTAAACATGCTAAAACAGGCATGTCTCAAAGTTTCCTGATCCCAGTACTATACTGATCAATACAGGAACACCTTATTATTTATTATTATTTATTTATTATTATAGGATATTTATATGGCGCACATATCCAGGCAACTAGTACATGTTCAAGGCGCTAATATTTTTCCCCTCGATCATTGGATGTCAATCTCAATGGCACGCCGTATTATCAATCTCAACTGCCTGGGGAGTATACAACTCTTGCAGCCACTAGGCGCACCGAGTTATTGTGGCTTTCTCATCCTAACGAGGTACCCATTCACAGCTGGGTGGACTGGGACACATAGTCACAGTACTTTGTCCAAGTTCACTGCATGTTGCACAGGGTTTTGTGCTGTACACTAGGGGTTGTGACAACTCTGAAAGAATCTGCACACAAGTTGACTCCAAGGTTTTTACACCCGGTCACAGGTGGGCTCGATCCCGACACCTCAACCTCGCTGGACCACTAGCCTGGCGCCTTAGCCAGCCCGACCACCGCGATTAACTTGTCGTATCCCAGCTGCATCACTGATGCACATTATATCAATCGCTGGATTGTCTGGTCCAGAATTAATTGTTTACAGACTGCTGTCATATGGCTGGAATATTACGGGGTGCGGCATTACCCAATAAACAAACAAAACAAATCAGAATCTGTCCAGCATGCATGAATGTGGGGTAGATGGGACTGTCCTTTTGGGGACATATCTGAATCTTGGGACTCCCTATATCGCTAACATTTGGGTAGCTGAGAGCAGCAGTGGGCTCCTACAGTCAAGTAATAACACATCATCACATTAGAGAGTCATGTCTTGATTGCAGGAGTCCATCGCTGTTCGCGGCTTACATAACGCTCATGTCTTGACTGTCTGTGCACACCGCTGTTTGCGGCTCATGTGTTGACTGTCCTTGCCCATTGCTGTTCGCGGCTTACATAACGCTCATGTCTTGACTGTCGGAGACAATAGCTGTTCGCGGCAAATATAGGGCCATGGCAGCAACCTCTTGATGCCCATATTCCATTTGAAAAACATTTAACAGTAATGAAGTTACTTGACATAAAACATACTGACTGGAGGGTATGAAAACTATGATATCTATGATTGTCGTATGTTTGCGCTAGGTCGGACTGGAAGATGTTATGAACGCATAACTAAAATATGAAAATCAGATCGAGAAGAAAAATAGAGAAAGACAGCTTAAAATGTAATTGAAAACTCTGTCGGAAGATTTTACATTGTGTTGAAAAGAAGAAATCCAGTTCTGAACTTTCTGTTACCGGCAGAATTCATTTCAAATACAAAAATGACAGATTCCTGAAAAAAATAGCTTATTGCGTCAACTAAAGTATTACACCTTTACCTGTTAAACAAGGAGATGAGTGGAATCCCCTTGTGTAGTTCCTCAGGCCATTGTGTTTAGAGAATAGTCTCAGACAAGGCACAACCCTCGTCAACATCGCGTTGATAGAAAAACGGGTATAAACGAAAACTAAATATGCACAACCACTTGCTTCATGGGCGCCGCCATGACTTACATAAATAATAGTACTTTTCCCATAACAAGAATTATCTGCATTCTAACCCTTACACGAACGAGATGCCGCTTGCCCTTGCAACGTGGGTTATTTGTTGTGATGTTCAGTCCCCTTCTCCAGGATCTGCTGCGGCTAAAAAAACTACAACATAATGCAGTTAAAAATACAAAAAACAGGTCGCAATTCAAGAAGTTGCATCCTACTACTAAAGCAAAACAATACTGAAATTAGAAGAAATTATACTTATAGTCTGTTTGCGTTGAAAACGTACCGATGAATTTCACTCTAAACAAAAAAGTAAATCGATTAAAGCGAAATTAAGATTGCAAATCCTCATAATTTTACCTTGCCAACTGAACATTCAAATCTCAGAATTTTATTCAACTTAGGATAAAAGTTGTTTAACAAACGATCATAGTTTCAAATCGCTATTATTGGTTTTTATTACAAGGGGGTATGCACATTAGATCTGTGCGGTTTCTCAAATGTGGAGCCGCTTTCTCTAACAGTCTACAATAAGCACAATCGTATAATTAATATTTACAGTGTAATAAACAGTTTGCTGACAACACTTCAGACATTATCTATAATCACTACAAATATCAGTAATGTCATCACACTGCCATGAACATCTTCAATTGTATAAACTCAAATATCCTTCATGAATTTATATATTGTCCTTGTAAATATTGTTGTGCATCACTAGCTAGATAACGCGGAGTTTATCTACACAGAAACGTCGCGTCTATTGCAATAACAAAGTTTTCTATCCATTAAAGTGTCCCTCTTCATCACAAACCGCTTCCCTTTGATGTTGTATCGTTAGGGTGTCTGGGAAGAAGGAAAACACAGTTCTGTTGAACTCTGAATGTATATTATATATCACCTGTAGTGACTGATGTTGTACGTTCCTGAAGGTTCATCCGGGTACTTCAACCTTCGGCAAGACCTACCAACACTGCCTTCTCGAAATCCAGCTTTCTGCGCTACAACCACTGGATATAAGACTCCGGATTACCTAAAAACGAATTGCATCGATTGAAAATAGTGATTATACATGTACATCAAAAGTATATCCTTATGTCCTGATCATGCTTATAAATACTCACAGCTTTGTAATCTGATGTTCTTCTTGCGGCATCAGAACTTGGAGGACTGGAAAAAATGTGTGTATTGTCAGGAGTTGATAGAACGGACTTCGGACAACCTACAGGGTTATATGACATTTCGTGAAAACATTGCACAAACATACTTAGAGATGAAACACCATCAGATAACGGCCGTTATAACCTTGAATGTATCGTGTCATAGTTTATCTGTAATGGACAATATACTAATGAAGACAAATGTATAAGTATTATTTTATATAAATGTGATAGAAAAATAAACAAATGTATTATTGTGTTCGTTCTAGATGAATACTTACGTCCAATTCAAGGTCTTTAGGGTCCTTTGGCCTCAACTTCTTCCTGTTTCTACTGGCCTTGATTCTTCTGTCTCGTGGGTTGTGTACGATTGTATCCTTTATCTAAAATTTAGTTAGTTTAGTTAGAGAAAAAATTGATTACAAGAACTACGTGGATTATACTGGAATACTGTAAAATGTAACAGGTACCTTTTACTTGCGAACCAGTAAAGATCTATCCATCTCAGGTCTTGTTGGATGACCCTTGCCTATTTGCTACCCGTTGGGGTAGAAACAAAGACATTTCTGTTCCAACATGTATGTAAGCGACCATGATGAGTGATCAGTGTAGGCAATGTGACGTCACACAGCCCCTTGGAGGACTAGGTCCCGGGACTAAGGGGCCGTTCATAATTTATGGCTAGGGTGATGCTGATTTTAGTGTGTGTGTGTGTGTGCGTGCGTGCGCGCGTGTGTGTGCTTGCGTGTGTGTGTGTGTGGTTTTGGGTGGGGGTGGGGGTCGGGGTGTCAGCCATTTGTTCTGGGAGGTAGGGGGGTCGTCAATTTTGTACTCATGTTTCTTGGTGGGTGTGTGTGTCAACAATATTGTACATTAAAATATTTTTAAATTATGCTTTAAAGATATGGGAAGGGGAGGGGGTCATTGACTTTGTTCATGACATGCGGGGGTGGGGGTGGGGTCACTTACTTTGTACATAAGTCTTAGCGGGGGTCATTCACCATGTACATGCTTCTCCATACAAATCATCGTCACCCCCACTAGCCATAAATTATGACCTATGCTGTATAACTCGTCTGACGTTCGTAGCAAGAATATTTCATCTGCGCGTAAATACTTTTTAGTGCGCCACCTGGGAAGGTTACCCATGTCATTGACAGCAAGCTTGCTACAGACAAGTGTGTTTTTCCCCTGTACATTGAAAATGCTGAACTGTGTAACAAGATTGTTTCCATAATCAGGTCATGTATGCGCGGCTAAATTTAGTGTGCAGTGGGTGTGAGTTTAAGTGGACAAAGATCAATACATTGTCAAGGTGTCAGAAAACGCGAGTGTGGTGCTGTGATGTCAAGAGTATTCGACGAATTTCGACGCGAGGGACTTTGAATATAAGTCAAGTTCGATGGTATACACTGAGAAGTTTCCGTGGTCCCGATCCAGTGAAGTTTCCACGACTTACTCCACAGCATGTCACAGCGATATTACAAGCGAATGAAACGTCCGTGGAAGAAACATACGGACCTGTCAAAGGATTCGAGACAAATCAACTTCAGTCAAATAACCCGATAGAAGACCGTCGTGGGGAAGCAAAGTTATTGACAACTCACAGTAAGTGGGGAGTTGGTGGCCGCTATTTGTTTGGTATGTTTGATGGCCATGCAGGTAATTCATGCGCCCAGTCTATTCGTGAACGTCTATTTCACTACATAACGGTGACTTTATCTTCCCCTGAAACTTTGCATGAAATCAAGGACGATAAGCTGAATTTGAATGAAAAACTTTTGCATCAGTATAGAAGTGGGTTGGACTATTACAATAAAGATCTAGCAGATATTCAACAGAGAAGTTTGGCAAAGTTTGCAAGTGAAACCCTAGCAGTACATGGTGAAGAGGACACACTTGTGGACAATTTGACAAATGCTTTTGTGAGGTTAGATCAAGATATTTGTTCAGAGGCATTACCAGAACAAAACTCTAATTTGAACTTTCATTGTCTGCAGTCAGCCTTCTCTGGTGCTGTGGGTTGTGTAGCATTTGTGGATGGGATCGATGTGTACATCGCCAATGTTGGTGATGCTCAGGCAGTGCTTGGTGTTAATACTCATGGAGACGAATGGGAGGCAGTTTCTCTCAGCAATTTGCATAATGCTGATAATGAATCAGAAGTGAATCGGTTGTTCAGACATCACCCGAATGAATCGGGTAATATTTTGAAGAATGGGCGTTTGTTTGGTGACTTAGCACCACTGCGTGCTTTTGGAGATGTTCGGTACAAATGGGCAGCTAAAGATCTGAAACATATTGCAAATACAGTGCGGTCGCCGCAGTCTGCCATCAGTATCTATGGCAACCGACTTATTCCGAGGAATTATCACACCCCACCATATCTGACTGCTGAACCGGAAATAATCCACCATCGTCTTACACCAAGAGACAAATTTCTTGTTCTAGCATCAGACGGGTTATGGGACACGTTATCACCTGAGAAAGTTGTTCAGCTCGTTGCCGGACACTTAGATGGGCGGCAGGTATGGGTCAACTTCCATCCCCCTCAGGGCACCACCATGAAGGATATCAACGAGATGCTCAAACGAAGGAAATCAAGTCTTGCCAATATCACTGTGGATGCAAATGTAGCTACGCATTTGATCCGGAACTCCTTGGGCCCTGAACATGGACAGCTTTCAGCACAGTTAACACTCCCAGACAGTATCGTGAGATTCTACAGAGATGATATTTCTGTGACAGTGATTTACTTCGATTCCGATTACATCATTGATAAGGCTTCAGTGTGAATGTAGTATTGGAAAATAGGTTTACTGTTGTTGATGTGTTTGTTATTGCTGTGGAAAGACAGTGAACTGAATGCCACTGTTGTTTGTTTTATACTGCATATGGCCTAGGAGGAGAGTGATGCGGACACTTATCTTCTTATAGACCTGCTAGTGCTATTCTTCTCATGCCCTTGTCCCCCCCACTGATCACTGAATGCCACTGTTGGTTAGGCCACAATATATTAATCATTCAATCAAGTCTCCTTTCCATAGAACGATCTTTGAGACAATCATAAGTCCAGTACTTTAACCCAGACTTACCACAATATAGTATCCCTTAGATTAATTTTGAAGAATGGGTGGCAAATTTTGAAGAATATTTAGATGGGATGGATCAATTATCATATTTTAATATACAGACAAACTGTATGGATGAACAACTTCTTTATTTGGTATTTTACTTATTAAAACCAACTAGTCTTGACATCTGTGAACACCAGCACTCTATGGGTGTTTGAATCCACACAGGTTTGACTGCATCATCGCAGGTAATTAGGGACAGTAAAGTAAGGCAAAGCTGGGCATTTGTCAGTGAGGCTTTCAGGGAGAAAATGTACTATTGCCTTGATATATTTATAGAACTCTTCAATCAATGGAGTTCTAAAATTACTAAATACCAATAGTCATTTCCATTGAAAAATCACAAAAGGTTTTCTAAATAAATACATCTAGTCAGTGAGCACATTTTTGTATCACATCACTGGGGTTCTATTTCACCCTGTAATGACAGTGCTGCATTTTGGTGTTTGTTTGGCTCTGACTATGTTTCTAGGTTTGTGTGCGCTGTACCCATCCTCGTGGGTTTCACTGCAACGGTAGACATGAGCCCGGCATCACTCCTGGCTTGTTTAACCTGACACGCTGCCATACAACAAATAATACACCCATCACACTCACAAATATTTTACCAATTTATGTTTCATTCTGTTACTAAAATTAAGAATACTGGAAGTCTTTTTGCCCCAGTTGTCATTTGGACCTGGGCTTGATTTTTGAAGCTCTCTTAGAGCTAAGATAGTCGTGTGAGTTAATGTTAATGTATGGCACTTACGACCGTCTTAACACTAGGAGAGCTTCGAAAATCTAGGTGCTGGACTATTAGGTGCTCCTGATCTAGTGACGGAAGTGTATTTATCAGACCCAGCACAGGTATCCATACCTTGAGCATTAAACACGACCACATGATGCACAATATGCTGCAGTGTGTGTCCGGTCATATCATGAATATTGCTTAAGTCAGGATAGTCAGGATTGCATACTGATAGAAGTAGTGAGGCCAAGAAAACACTGTTTATGTTTCAGGTGACATGGAGCCAACAGATATAGGTCTGAAGGTATTTTAAAATATTAATGTGCAATTTATTGTTGGCTAGTTTCAAAATTTAAACTGATGCAAGTTGCCCGTTTGTCAAGTTGTGTGTCGCTCTGTGTCATACATAAGTGATTCCAAAACATGCACTGGAACAGTGAAGCAAAAAATCACATGCTTGTTCTCACAAATGATTAATACCCATTCAGCTGAAGAAGTACGAATCCAATTATAAACATGGCTGCCATGGCATTTTATGTATGTGTGTAGTTAGTGGTGATTCTCAACTGATGAGTTTTAATTGTTACTTTCATTTGACCTTCTTTTACACAAGCATTTATGTAGATTACTGATGAAATTTGGAATATTTGTGGCTCCATTACTGGGTTCAACGTAGTTATCTTTTCAGTATAATGAATTTACATTTCGTTTTTACCTTCCTCTTATATTCGCTCATCCTTGCGTCTGTTACATCTTCACTGAAATGGCCATCTTGAAGAAGAAGCTGTACTTTAACTAGTGTGTTTCTCATCTAATGACGTATTTTGTATTGTTTGTTAGTTTTGTTTTAGTCATTATTATTTATGCAGAAAATATTTAAATATCCATAAAGGCATCAGCTTTGTGTTCAGTGGCTGTCTTTGTTTACAAAGACATTTTAACTGTTTACTTCAGGTGAGCTACAGAGCCTAAGCATTTTCTTTTGAACTCAGGAGAACACCATATGTTGAGTTAAGCCTAATGTGTCAAAATAAAAGATGATTTCAGAGATTTTCTGGGAGCAATTTTGTTTATAGTTGAACATGGGCAGACTTAGACTGATCCTCATGCTGATCTTGTCAGTTGTATGTAACGAGATCAGATATGATCGCCTTTGGGAACAGTGATGAGACACTTCTGCATGTTACATTTTGTCCAGAAGTTTGTAAATCAGTGTATATTGTACATTATTGTTTACAATGTATTAATCACATTTCCCTAGTTTATCTATTGTCCCTGTATTGTGCAGCATATCATATGTCTCAGTATTAATATGGTAACAGCAAGTTACCATGGATGCAACGTAATCAGCAAGACAAGGAATGTGAACTTAGATAATGTTTCACCTGGTTGTGATGGGAGATGATGAGATGGACAGATCCAATTCAGTTTTATATTTCTGTTTTATTTTCTGCATGTTAAATTAAATATCTATCACAGGCCTATCTGGTCCAGACTCAGTTATTTGGAGATGTCGTCAATTGCTGATGGGGAGTGCAGCGTGAACAAACAAACAAACAAACAAACAAACAAGCTGATTCAGTTGTGACATCAGTCAGTCGTTTCAGCACAAGAAACTTCTGCAATTATATGTTCAGAGAGATCCAGAGTCTACATCAGTCCAGTCTACACTACTTACTACTACTACATTACTATTAACGGTACATGGCATTTTACATTTCATCAAGGATAATACATGTAACATTTGATGAATTATTGATGCCGTTATTAATAATTTGAGATTTAAAAAAAAAATGAGGATGGGGAAATAGAGTGGTAAGGGAAAGTGAAAGGGTGCAGAACAGAGACTACACTTTCATATTATTTGAGGTACCGGTAATCAGTATGCTACACATTCATAATATTTGAGTTAATCTGTATGCTACACTTCCATAATATTCGAGTTTATCAGTATGCTACACTTCCATATTATTAGAGTTAATCTGTATGTTACACTTTCATAATATTTGAGTTAATCTGTATGCTACACTTTCAAATTATTTGAGTTTATGAGTATGCTACACTTTCATAATATTTGAGTTAATCTGTATGCTACACTTCCATAATATTTGAGTTTATCAGTATGCTACACTTCCATAATATTTGAGTTAATCTGTATGCTACACTTTCATAATATTTGAGTTTATCAGTATGCTACACTTCCATAATATTTGAGTTAGTATGCTGCACTTTCATAATATTTGAGTTTATGAGTATGCTACACTTTCATAATATTTGAGTTAATCTGTATGCTGCACTCTCATAATATTTGAGTTAATCTGTATGCTACACTTTCATAATATTTGAGTTTATCAGTATGCTACACTTCCATAATATTTGAGTTTATCAGTATGCTGCACTCTCATAATATTTGAGTTTATCAGTATGCTACACTTTCATAATATTTGAGTTTATCAGCATTTTACACTTTCTTGTTATGTTAGTTAATCTGTCATCATGGTCATGTCATGGCAGACTAACGTTAGTAATATGAAAGAATCAGATGTTCATCAGCTTTTTGAGAAGTATATTATGACTCACTGTAAGATGTCTAAATTAATCCTATTGTTAACTCAGTACGACCTTTTGAAAATGTATGCAAGGCTTAAAGAGAAATTTGAAAGATTTACTAACACCAAGAAACACTTTCAGTTCAGCTTGGCACCACTGCTTTTTAAATTTGTTGTGAATAACTTATTGAAGTCTTATCAAGAAAACTAGACAAAGAATTGGTCTGTCCTTAATCTGTTGTTTTGATGTGCTTTAACACAAGGTGGAATTTTGTTTATTTGTTAGAAATGAAGCAAAGATTGGACCACGGTGTTTCTACATTGATTTTCTGGGAAGCCTGAAGTTTCAGACTTTGGTGTGCAACCCTATCCAGGCTATGGGGTTTGTCCATGTAATGAAGCATAGCCACATAGATATTCATACAAATTGATCGTAGTTTCATAGGAGTTTCAAAGGACATTACCACAGTGATTGAATGCAGTTTTATGCCTTTTTAACATTATTCCAGTAATATATTGGTTAAGGCGTTCGCTCGTCACGCTGAGGACCCGGGTTCAATTCCCCAGATGGGTACAATGTGTAAAGCCCATTTCTGATGTCCCCCTGCCGTGATATTGCTGGAATATTGCTAAAAGCGTTTAAACCTCCACTCACTCACTCACTCCAGAAATGGCCTGAAGACATTGTAACAATTTTGGGGAAAGAACCCAGGACTTTCTGCAAACACCTTAACCACCAGGCTAGCGCAGCTCCTGTCACTACCATCAGCAGGATGCTATGAGCAGCACATTGGTGGAGACGAACCATCATGTTTTGGTACATTTGACAGCTACTGTGTATTTGTAATTTTACTAATTACAAATAGTCAAGTGTCATGTTGAGCTTGGATGTCTCGAATTTACCTTTCCCAAACCAACACAGTTAAAAACATATAATATCGAAACACTCACTCACTTTCAACTTTCTTTTATGTTAATTGATTAATGGTTAAAACAACTAAAAGTTTGCTGGCAAATCCAGTATTTGAGAACTGACGCATATACAGACGCCATATTTGCGGCGCCTTCCTTACAACATGAATTACATGTACAGTGAAGGCTACAAACTAATCGATGGATGTATTGCTTAAAGCAATAGTACATGATACTTATATTTTATTATTTATGGCAATTTGGGGGCCAGTTTGAAAGTAGTATGAAGAAAGACTGCTTGATTACATCTTGTAATGATCTCTCATAACTTCATGTTTGGTTTGGGGAATTGGCTTTGTTAGTTGCCGGCCGCGATAACTCTAATTCGCCACAACACACCAAGGGTCGACTGTATAGCTGTGAATGTGTGAATATCGGTCACATCGGTCAGCCTCAACAAGGTCACCCTATAACAATAACCAACCTTGTATGTGCGAGAAGTTTTCTATAAATATCGGTGTTGAACAGTTCCGCATAGGAGACCTTTCATGTTTGATAACCACGACGGTATTGAGTGAGTGAGTTTAGTTTTACGCTGCACTCAGCAATATTCCAGCTATTTGGCGGCGGTCTGTAAATAATCGAGTCAGGACCAGGGATCAACAGCATGAAAATCTATCTACGCAATTGAGATAAGATGACGTGCCAACCAGTTCGCAGTTCGCAGACTCCTTAAAACAACAGTATTTACGGTTCAATGAACAGATTAGCTACTATATGTTACCTACACATTACAATGGAATAGTCCAAAGAAAAATAAAGAAAGAAATGTATTATTTACTTTGAAAGGTGGCCGACAAGACATTATTTTGACTTTTGATTGCTGCAATAAAAAAAAACCAGTTGATTTTCATAAACATTTGGGTTTAACCATCTCGTCTAACGGGAGTTGGCGTCATCATATTGAAAGCATTGTCAAAAAGACATCTAAAATGATTGGAGAATTTGGGAAATTAAAGTTCCTACTAAATAGAACAACAACTTCCTTACATTTTGATAATGGATTGACCATATGTCCAACACTTTATCATTTGTATACTGGCCCTCGTATGTACATGTACAACTTGTAAAACGTGAAATGGGCCGGTGGCCCCATTACAAGGAATAAACTCACTCACTCAATAGAACAACATTAGCAAAAATACACTGAACATCACTGAAAACGCACCACCTGTAAATTTTGAAATATGGTAATAGGATTGTTTTGAGAGTGAAAATGAACGTTGGAAACGTTGTTAAGAACACAAAAGACAATAAATAATGCTGTACAGTAAAGAACGGATTGCCAGAACACATCATGGAACACATTTCATGACAACAACAAAATTCATGCACAACACACACGAATAGCACAATTTGCATGCGTAAAACATGCTGATTAGGGGTATAAATGACCATCGGCAAAAAAACCGTTCTCAATTTAGCTGTACCTCCGCAAGTAAAGTTTATTTTGCAATGCCAAGATTGTCACCAGAGGAACGAGAACGGGCGTTGTGCATGTTGCAGGTTGGCACATCAAGCAGGATTATTGCCAGACGATTTGGTTGCCATCATTCTACCATCATAGGACTTGCCAACAGGTACCAATAAACATGAACCACCAGGGACCGCCAACGTCCTGGCCAGGCATGTGTTACCATCCTTCGCCAAGATCGAGACATTGTTCGGCGCCATATTCGGGATCGTACGTTGCCGGCTGCCAGAACCGCCAACGCTGTCGAAGGCCGACGTGGTTTGATCAGTGCTTCCACCGTCCGACGCCGTCTCCGTGCGGCAGGATTACGGTGTCAACGCCCCTATGTTGGACCCATCCTGACTGATAGACATCGCCGTCAACGCCGACGATGGCTAAACAGCATCGTTTGTGGTTGTTACGACGTTGGCATGGTGTTGTGTTCTCCGACGAGTCACGTTTTCACTTGCGAAATGCTGACGGGCGTCTACGGGTATGGCGTCGACGGGGAGAACGTTACCATCAGGACTGTGTGTGCAAACAGATCGGTGGGGTGGAGAAAGCATTATGGTGTGGGGAGGGATCAGTTATCATCACAAAACCGCTCTGGTAGTTTGTCGTGGCAGAGTGAATGCCCTTTACTACCGTGACACCATTCTTCAGAACAACATCGTTCCCTTCTTTAACCAACATCAAGATCTGCACACATTCCAGCAGGACAATGCTCGAGCGCACACTGCACGTGTTGCAACACAGTTTCTGGCAAACAACAACATTCCTCTACTTCCATGGCCTGCATTGTCACCAGATTAGTCTCCCATTGAACACTTGTGGGATTACATCGGCCAACGCCTCTCACGTCGCCCACAGATCAACAACCTTGGGGAACTTGAGAACGCCTTGTGTTGCACCCCTGGGAGAGGGTGTTGGTCGTTGCCATCAAAATGGCTGAAAACAGACAACAACGTGATTTAGTTCAAACGTCAATTTATTCTTCATCGCAATAAGATTGCGTCAATTGTGCGACGCTGGTGACGTCACATCTACGCATTACCTCACAACCAGTTATGTATTCTGAACAAACGTCTGTTGGTTCGACTCACAAAAAATATGGGGTTATCTAATTCAACATAATTTTAGACTTATCAGTTCAATGAGGAGACGTTGCACAGCTTGTGTTGCTGCTAACGGTGGTCATACACGTTACTGACTTTCCAATTTGACTCCATCTTTCTTTCATGGTCAGCTGAATTAAAACTTCACTGTTTTGCTGGATTGGTTCTTGTTTCTTTTCTTTACCAATCATTGGACTACAAAAGTATGTAAAATTTACACCGATTGCTCATTTATGCTCTTGGAAATCCAAACTAATACAGGTGGGGCGTTTTCAATGATGTTCAGTATATATACTGTATTTATAAGGCCACATTTTGAGTACGCATGTGAGGTATGGTATGAATGTTTGATTGAACAAGCCAATAGAATAGATGTGACTGTTTCATCAGTTA